TTGAAGAATGCCATTGAGATTTTGATTGGAATAGCATTGAATCTGTATATTGCTTTTGGTAGGATGGCCATTTTAATAATGTTTATTCTTCCAATCCATGAGCAGGGGATGTCTTTCCATTTCTTTGTGTCTTCTTCTATTTCTTTTAACAGTGTTTTATAGTTTTCTTTGTATAGGTCCTTTACCTCTTTTGTTAGATTTATTCCCAAATATTTGATTTTTTTTGTTTCGATAATAAAAGGGGTGGTTTTTTTGATTTCTTCTTCTTCAGATTTATTGTTTGTGTATAGGAAGGCTACTGACTTTTGCGTGTTGATTTTGTATCCTGCCACTTTACTGAATTGATTGATGAGTTGAATTAGTTTTTCTGTGGAGATTTTGGGGTTCTCTATGTATATTATCATATCATCTGCAAATAGTGATAGTTTGACTTCTTCTTTTCCAATTTGGATTCCTTGGATGTCTTTCTCTTGTCTTATTGCTCTGGCTAGGACTTCCAGTATTATATTGAAAAGCAGTGGTGAGAGTGGACATCCTTGTCTTGTTCCAGATCTTAATGGAATTGCTTTCAGCTTTTCACCATTGAGAATGATACTGGCTGTTGGCTTGTCATAGATGGCCTTTATGATGTTGAGGTATGTTCCTTGTATCCCAAGAATTTCAAGGGCTTTTATCATGAATGGGTGTTGCACTTTGTCGAAAGCTTTCTCAGCATCTATTGATATTATCATATGGTTTTTATATTTCTTTTTGTTGATGTGTTGGATAACGTTGATTGATTTTCGGATGTTAAACCATCCTTGTGCCCCTGGAATGAATCCAACTTGGTCGTGGTGAATTATCTTATGGATACATTGTTGGATTCTGATAGCTAAAATTTTATTGAGGATTTTTGCATCAGTGTTCATTAGGGAGATTGGCCTATAGTTTTCCTTTTTTGTGTTGTCCTTATTCGGTTTTGGTATTAGTGTAATATTGGCTTCATAGAACGTGTTTGGTATTGTCCCTTCCTTCTCAATTTTTTGGAAGAGTTTGTGAAGGATAGGCACTAATTCGTCTCTGAATGTTTGGTAGAATTCATTTGTAAATCCATCAGGTCCTGGGCTTTTGTTTTTGGGGAGGTTTTTAATTACCATTTCAATTTCGCTCCTTGTAATTGGTCTGTTTAGGTGTTCTATTTCTTCTTTATCTAGCTTTGGGTGATTGTAGAGTTGTAGGAATTTGTCCATCTCCTCTAGATTGTTGAACTTGTTTCCATATAACTGTTCATAGTAGTTACTGATTATTCTTTTGATTTCTGCTGTGTCCGTTGTGATTTCTCCTCTTTCATTTATGATTCTGTGTATTTGTGCTTTCTCCCTTTTTTCCTTTGTGAGCCTGGCTAGGGGTTTGTCTATTTTATTTATTTTTTCAAAGAACCAGCTCTTGGTTTCATTGATCTTTTGGATTGTTTTTTTAGTTTCAATTTCATTTATTTCTGCTTTGGTTTTTATTATTTCTTTTCTTCTACTGGTTCTGGGGTTTTTTTGTTGTTCTTTTTCTAGATCTTTGAGCTTCGAGATTAGGTTGTTTCTTTGAGTTCTTTCTTGTTTTTTGATGTGAGCTTCTATTGCTATATATTTTCCTCTTATTACTGCTTTTGCTGCATCCCATACATTTAGGATATTGGTGTCCTCCTTGTCATTCAATTCAAAGAATTTTTTAATTTCTTCTTTGATCTCCTCGTTAGTCCAGTGGTCTTCCAGTAGTGTGGCTTTTAATCTCCATGAGGTAGGATAGTTCCTTGCCTTCTTTTTATGATTTATTTCTAGTTTGATGCCTTCGTGGTCAGAAAAGATGGTTGGTATGATTTCAATCTTGGTGTATCTGTTGATGTTTGTCTTGTGCCCCAGTATGTGATCGATCCTGGAGAATGATCCGTGTGCGCTTGGGAAAAATGTGTACTCCGTTTTTTTGGGGTTTAGTGTTCTATAGATGTCTGTTAAGCCCAAATGCTCTAGGTCCTTATTTAGAGCTTTAGTTTCTTTACTTATTTTTTGTCTTGTTGATCTATCCATTGTTGATAGTGGTGTGTTGAAGTCTCCCACTACATATGTGTTTTCTCTGATGTCTGTTTTCAGAGAGGACAACAGTTGTCTGATATATTTTGGTGCTCTTTCGTTTGGTGAGTATATGTTAATGAGTGTTATTTCTTCTTGAAGTATTGTCCCCTTAATCATAATGTAGTGACCATTGGGGTCTCTTTTTATTTTTTTGAGTTTGAAGTCTGTTTTATCTGATATAAGTATAGCTGTTCCTGCTTTCTTTTTTGGCCCATTTGCTTGTAGGATTGTTTTCCATCCTTTGACTTTGAGCCTATTTTTATCTTTTGTAGCTAAATGTGTTTCCTGGAGACAGCAAAAGGTTGGGTTTTGTTTCTTAATCCAGGCTGCAACTCTGTGTCTTTTTATTGAAGAGTTTAGTCCATTTACATTTAGAGTTAATATTGATATGTTAGCATCTGTATTTGCCATTATGTTTGTCTTTCCTTTGATTTTATTTATTTATTCTTTTAATAACTTTTTTTTTTTCTTTCGTTGTTATTCGTCCCTCTGAGGTTCTGGCTTTAGGATTCCTTGTAGTATTTTTTGGAGTGGGGGTTTAGTCGCAATGAAATTCCGGAGTTTCTCTTTGTCTGGGAAGGTCCATATTCTTTCTTCATGGAGGAAAGAGAGCTTTGCGGGATAGAGTATTCTTGGTTGGCATCTGTTTTCTTGGAGTCTGTTGACTATGTCCCTCCACTCTCTCCTTGCCCATAGTGTTTCTTCAGAGAAGTCTGATGTCAGCCTGATTGGTTTTCCTTTGAATGTTATCTGTTTCTTCCCTCTTGTCAGCTTCATTATTTTTTCCTTGTCCTGGATTCTTGGGAGCTTTACTATTATGTGTCTTGCTGTGTTTTTCCTTTCGTCGTGGAAGTTTGGTGTTCTTCTTGCTTCTTGTATATCAATTTTCAGCTCCTTCTTCTCATTTGGGAAGTTCTCTTCAATTATATCCATGAATATTTTCTCTGTTCCTACATCTCTCTCCTCTCCTTCTGGAATTCCTATAACTCTTATATTTCCTTTCCTCATGGAGTCAGATAGTTCCCGAAGTCTTTCTTCATTCTTTTTCCTTCGTACTTCTCTTTCCTTTTCTGTTTTGGTTCTTTTTATTTCTGTGTCTTCAAGATTACTTATTCGTTCTTCCATTTCATCTATTCTGCTTTCATTGCTTTTCCCAGAGTTCTTTAGTTCCTCCATTAATTCTTTGATCTCCTGCATTTCTTTTACTTCCCTCTTTAGGGACTCAATTTCCTTCTTCTGATCTATCACTTTTTTAATCATGGCAATTTTAAATTCTCTTTCTGGAAGGCTCAGAAGTTCTTCCAAGTTGCTGTCGTTGCAATCTGGGGAGTGGGTTTCTTTTTGTGGTGTGCTTCTTTCCTGAGGAGTTTTTAGGTTGCGTGTGGTTCTTCTACTCCCTACTGTCTGTTTTCTAATTTGTCGTATGCGTTGGGACACTGTGTTGCTCGGACTGACTGACATCTTGGGTGAACTTCTCCGCTCCCCTCTGGCTCTTCCAGGAGCCATCTCTGTCTTCTGGGGGGGCTTTCTGCTGGTTTTAGGCAGTTTTTACTGAAGCAATGTCCCTGTTCTCAAATGGCGAAGCGGGATGCAGTCCCTGCGCCTCCGGTTTCAGGCACACTCTTCTGCGCACCCAGTCTGCCCCAGACGTGGGTGCCTGCTCCCTCTGTGGGCTCAGACTGCTGGTCGGAAGGGGCCTGGCGTGGAATAACTTCCCGGCTGGCCACTGGGTCCTCCAGAAACCTTCTGCCCTTTTCAAGCAGTCTTAAGAAATGTCCTGTTTTATAGGGTGTTAGTGACTTTTTTTTTCCTGGTCGCTAGGTGGCGCCAGAGATCTCTCCTATTGTCCTTGGGGGGCTGTTTTTCGCCTCCCCCCACCCCGTGGGACAGAGAACAGAGCGGGAATGGTAGGGTACACCTCAACAGCTTTGGGGTGCTGTGTCTGCCTTGTGCCCCACCGTCGTGGAGAAACCACGCCCCGAATTTTCGTGCCCCGGGTCTCAGTTCAAAGCCCTCAGTTCCAGGACGCGGGCTGTAGCCCAGTTCAGTGGCGCGGGAATGGCGCCTTTTGCACCGCTCCCGTGCCTGGGCGCCTGGTTCCTGCTCACTCAGGGAGGGACCTTCACCTCAGTGAGGACCTCCGCGCGTCTCCCCGCAAGCCTAGGTCGTCTCCCAAGCCTAGGTCGCAGGCGCGGGGACCTGGGCAGCCGAGATCCAGGTCTGCACTTGCTTTTCAAGCGCGCCGAGTGCGCCGCGTTCCCGAGCCAGCTTACCGGCAGCCCGGGCTGTGTGCGCGTCTCCCGGGGTCTTTGTTCTTCTCTAATGGCGCCCGGAGCCGTTCGCTCACCGCCGCGGCGGATCCTGCAGGGTTCGCCTCAGCTCCCGTTCACGGGGTGTGGTGGCTGCAATAGTTCCTTTCCACGCACAGTCCCGCTTGCTGCGTCCTTTGTTCTTGTGGGTCGTTTTAGTTTGTTGTTTCCCTCCTCTCTGCCGGTCGGAGAGTGCCGCCTCTGTGGGCGGGGGAGGGGAGCAGGGTTCTGCGCTTCCCTCCCTTCTAGTCCTCTTTTATGGCCAGTTTCTTCTTCGGGCAGTTCACTGGCGTCACCCGTTTATCTTCCGTGTCCCACTTCTCACTGGGACCTGCCGCTTTTCCTCCCTATTCACTTTTTTTAATGGGAGATCTTACTCGCAGCGTCTCCTCGCCGCCATGTTGCTCCGCCCCCCTCTTTGCTTAATTTTTTTAAGGGATGACATCAAATAGCCTTAGAAAACTAACTGTGACTACAGGATTGACAACAGATACAACCTTCTTTTCTGCCTTTGCCTCTAACATGAAATGCACTTTTGTGAAAAATATAGTAGATAAAAGTTCATTCATATTTTAATTATGTAACTTACCTCATTGATGAGACTTGATTCAAAATATTGATTGGCAATGCCGAGAGCAAGTTTTAGCCATATTTTATATTCTAGGGATGGCCAGAAGACATCAAAACCTTCATATAAGTCCTCCAGAGAGATAAAGCAGGCCTGGAAACATGAAGAGGTATCAAACAGCAAACTTATTTTGGAATTAAATGACATCAGGAAACAAAATGCCTATAGGTTTAATCTTCATTTAACCTCTTAGAAAAACTGACTCTAGTGTAAGTATGATTCTTGGTCACTTAAAAGCACTGGCCCGTGCAGAGGCTCTTTCTATGGATAACATGATAAAATATAATCAAGTTAAAGCTACAGACTTAATACTAGGTCAGGAAAATTCACACCACTCAATACTAAGATAAAGGAGATGGTTTATGAGCCTAAGGACCAGGACCTGCGCCACATAAACTTATCTATTTTTATTGTGATAGTAGGTAAGGTGGGCTCATTCCCAGTGCTTCTTCCAGAGGCAAACTCCTTCCCTGAGCAAGGAAGACCGTTTGTTCCGAATCCCAGCTGCATGAACTTTAATGAATCCAGTTCAGCCTTGATACTAAATCCATGTTTTCATCCTCTTCCAGAAATGAAATAGTATGATAAAAACTGATAAAACAACAATCTCTTTGGTCTTTAAGACTATGGATCCTGCTGCATTGCACCTAATGGTCCCAAAGGCTTCTGTTTTCCTTATAAGCACAAACTTTGGTTCACTTCAATTTGAATTCCCCACCCCTGGAATTTTATGTAGGTATTTTCCTAATCATCATAACATCAAAAGCTGGGGGAGAAATCAAATACTCTCCAAAAACTAATGATGTATGAAAATAAATTAATTTAACTTAAACTTTAAAAAAAAACCACACCAAAAGCTAGATCTTCTCTTTTATTTTTCTTTTTGAACATTTTTTTTTAAGTTAGCAAAGATTTATTTACAAGGGAAAAGGAAATGAGGAAATGTACAACTCAGGGAGAAAAGAGGGAGATAAGTTCTTAAATGCATCCTACTGTTCCACCGACCTGGAATCCCAAATGACCTGCCAAGACCAAACCTGTCTGGCCAAGAGCACCAGTCAAGTGCCCCAGACACCACTAACATGGCTGGTTTTATTTACAAACAGAGAAAATGGCCATTTAACTCTGCCTTTAGGTCCTCACAACTTCCCTTTGGGGATCCTGGGATTTGTAATTCCCAGTGTCTTGATGGAGTAGGGGTGGCATCCACAAAGCCTATATGGAATTCACTCAGGACATCCTTTCCCCCTAACAATTCCCCCCTTTCACTTTTTGCCACCATCCATGGTGATGAATAGATCTTCTCTTTTAATAAACAAGGACATTAAGACTCAAAGGGGCTAAACTATCTCAACTCCAAGTCCTACACTCAAGATGTGAGACACTAAAATCTTCCTTAGCTTAGCTGCTTCCCAGTAACTGGTTGGTTGACTCAGTAAGATACCAAATCCAAAGGAAGAAAGGACACTGGTATTCTTTATTTACTTGAAGAACAAGCAATTAATAGCCATGGTACTGACAACACCAGCTTCTTACCTGTAAAGTAGTTTCACAGATGGCAGTATATTCAATTTCATGCTTAAGCAGACAACTCAACTCTCCAATTATGTCCCCACTGGTACAGTATTCTGTAAGTATGGTATTGGACTCTGTATCAGGCCTTAGACCATGGTTTATTCCAAAGGTAGGAAGTGGACTATGCAACTACAAAAGGCAAAAAACATGCAAAAGTAAAAAAAATTAAAATATTTGACTAAGTCATAGCAGTTCCCACTGCTCTTGCACTTACTATAGCAGAAGGAAAAGATTCTCTGTGAACACTTTCAGGTTTCAAAACAGAAGCAGGCTTCACAAAAGTCATGGTTTCTTTCACATTTCAACTCTCCAAGGTAAAGACTGTTAACAATCTTTAGCTTTACAGATGACCCCTATTTATAACTTTCTATTTATACCTTCCTTATATAAATAAAAATCCCACCAAAGTAGTAATTGCAGTCTGCAATTTATATAGTCACCCACTCAGAATCTACTAGATATTCTGGTGTCTTGCTGGGGTGGGGGGTGGGGAAGCATGGGAGGGGGGCACAACTTTTAAATTCGAGAATGCATAAATCAGATATCATGAATTAATTGGCCTCCAAACCAAGCCATGATTTCAATTAAAAACCTTGTCTTCCTTATAATGTTTAAAAATAAGCATTTGTCATCATCTGACATCAACCAAAAAAAGTTTAGAATGACCACAAAGATGGTTGAATCTCTTCAGGAAAAGAACTGGTAGCCATGGGTGGGGAAGAAACAGGCTATCAGAGCTCAGGAGGAAGATCAGCAATCAATCAGAAGGATTACAGAACTCTCTAGAAATTGTAGCTGTAAACATCAAAGAGGAAGGCTATTCAGGATACAGGAAATAGGGAACAGAGAGTAACTGATTAAGTTGCTGTGAAAATTGCACTCCCATCCTATTAATTACCAACTCAGAGTTTTAGAGGCATTTGAGCTTCCAAAAGATTGAACTCTTTTTTTAAATTTAATTTTGAATCCACTTCAGAGGCCATTTGGGCAGTGAAGAATAGCTCTGCTTTTTACAAACCAAGAAAAAGAAGATATCATTTGTGATAGGCACAATTCTAAAGAAGTCCTTTCAAATTCCTCTCTTTGTTATTCAACCAAACATTAATCTAAATATTGCTGTGAAGATACTTTACAAGTAGAATTAGGGTTACTAATCAGCTGATTTTAAAGAGATGATTCTGGATTATCCTGGGGGACCCAATGTAATCACTTGAGCTCTCATAAGTAGAACAGGAAATATAATCAGTCACAGAGAAGTGCTTCAACATGAAAAAGATTGGAAAGGATGAACTCTGAGATGTGTGTATTTGCAAGCAATGACCAAAGGGGAGCTAGCACCTAAAGGTGGTTCCCAGCTGAGGTCCTGCAGAGAAGCAGGACATCTGTCCTATAACTCTAAGGAATTGGATTATTCTGAAAACCTTAAGGAACCTGAAAACTAATTCTGCCCACAGAATTTCCAAGAAAGGAATGCAAACAATAGAACCTTTTATTTTGGGCTGTGAGCTTCAAGCAGAAGAAGAGCTAAGTTATAGAAGTTCTGAACAGAGCTATGAGATTCAGATAATAAACCTAAATCACCAAATTTATGGTGGTTTGTAATAGCATTTATAGAATACTAAAATAACATTTTCAGCCCAAATATCATTGGACTTATGTTTTAAGAAGCCTTAGTTCAAATATTACAAGAAATTTTCCCAAATGAACTGCAACTTTTATGTGTTTGATTTAATGTATTTAATAAATACTGGTAGGAATATATTTTTGTTATGATTCTAATGGGAACAGCACTAAGCATGTGGTTGCTAATAAAGGCAGTACTGTACAATGGCCAAGCACATGGACACCGGAAGTAGACTCCATGGGTTTAACCACTTACTAGGTGTCCTTGGGGTCAAGTCAATTAATTTCTTTGTGCATCATTTTTCTCATGCGGAAAACAAGGTTGTTATAAGGATTCAATGCCATAACATATTGCAATTCTTGACTACGACTAACTCCTTCATCTATCACCTCTAACATACTATAGAATTTACTTATTTATTTTGTTCATTGCCCACCCCCTTCTATGACTTGACTAGAAACTAAACTCTAAGAAGGCAGGGGTTTTTGTCTGTTTTGTCAATTCCGTGCCAAAAATAAGCAGTACCTGTTGCCTGATAGTAATAAAGTAAATATTTGTTAGATGAATTAATGAATTAATGAATGGAAAGTGTCAACTACTTAATAGTTTCTATATGTGTGTTTGTATTATAATATTTATATATGTTGATATTTTTTATTTTCATGATCATTTTTTGTATTTTTAAGGTCTAAGATAGCCATTCTAAAAATAGAAAGTCAAATATACTTCTTGCACTATAATAAGGGGTTGTCACTTCTAATTGTCATCTAGGAACTAGGGATCATTTGTGTCATAAGCTGGGGTTCACCCCTGTATTTGATGTAATTAATAATGATTAGTCTCTCGGATAAGCATTAACAAGTTTGTCTTCCCCCATCTCTTGCAATTTTCCCCTTTGTTTGACAGGTTTGTCTTCTTGCGTTCCAAGGAAAATGGAGTTAAATACCAGTTGTTGAAAACGCAAGATGGCGCCCAACCTGCCCACCTTTCTCCGTGTCGACCCCTTCCCTTCCCTTTGCTGACTCTTGCCCAGCTCCCCACTTTTTTCCCTTTGTATAAATAACCTGCACTCTGCCAAAGAGCAGGATGGTGGTCTTTCAGACATGAGTCTGCTACCTTCTTCATTTGTTGACAAATTAAACCACTTTCCTTTTCCTCAAACTCTGTTTCCTTTTATTAGCTGAGGGAAACTGAGGCCAACATTTGGTATCATATTCAGATACTAGTATTCAGATTCTAAATGACCCTTGTCCACATCACTATACTGACATCTTTCTCTTGTCACCAAAAGTCTCCTATTGGTCAGAAGGAAAATTGTACTTTTGATCTTTACCCTATTTGATCTCTGTGAGGCTAGGACATTGCATCCCTCATTCTTGGCTCTCACTTCCTGTGGATGAGTAATTCAACCTTCCCAGGTATTGGGTGCCACATCTGAACATTATGGGAAAGACTACTTTCTCCCAGGATTGTTATAAGGAAAAATTAGTGACTGTGAAAGCATTTTGTAAAATATGAAGTGCTTTCCAAATGTTGGATATTTAACTACCAGCTGTTGTGGCCATTCTGAGCAGAAATGGTTTCATTTGGAAAAGAGACTGCACTAAAAAATTGAAACTTTTTTGGGACCTCCCCGGTGGCGCAGCAGGTGACCACTGGACTACGAAGCTGCCCGCAGCCTCTGCAGCGCCGGTTCGATTCCCAGCCAACGGCGAGGGTCCCACATGGTGTGACAGACCTCTCCTGCCACCCGCTGCTCCCCTCAGCAGTGTATTTCACTCAGTCTGCCTGTTCTGTTCCCCACTCTGTCTCCGGTGAATCCTCTCACCCTCACCCACAGTGCTTCTGACTGTACCCAGTGCTTGTATAAATGAATAAATTTTTTTTAGAAATTGAAACTTTTTTCTTGAATTTCTCCTTATGTTATAATTATACACTTCAAAATACATTTTTAGTAAAGAATAAATAGCCCCTTACAATTGCCATTCCCGAAGTAATTAAGTAGATTCCTTGTGACATTTCACCTTCTTTACAAATAATATCTCCATAATCAAAATAGGCGAGCTTAGCTTTTTCCTGGAAGAAAAAAAAAAAAGTCAATACAACAACATCATAGTCACTTTTCTAAATGGAAATAAGTGTGTAAAGCTAAAATGGCTTTCAAGTAACATGAAAACAGAACTACATTCTTTAGTTTGTTAATGAATTACTACTTGCTGACATACCTTTATCAAATTTTAGATAGAAAGGGACAATCAAGCAAGCTGTAGACTTGTGATTAGAACCTCATAAAATCTGACAGAAACACTCAATAAAAGTTTATGCAGTAAAAGAGTGAATTAATGAATATCTCTCCAATATTGTGATCATCTCCTAACTGGTCTTCTTGACCACTTTGTAACACTTTTACTAGTCCAAAACACCATCAACTCTTGCCTCCAGTATTGTAATCACCTCCCAAGTGGTCTCTCTGATTTGCCTTTGACCCCTTATAGCTCAATATAACATCAGGATGGTCATTTTATTTTATTTTAAAGATTTATTTATTTATACAAGAACCAGGGTACAGGCCAGATGCATGGGAGGGTGAGAGGATTCACCGGAGACAGAGCTGGGAACAGAACAGGCAGACTGAGTGAAATACACTGCTGAGGGGAGCTGCGGGCGAGACAGGAGAGGTCTGCTTCGCCATGTGGGATTCTCGCCGGCCAGCCAGGATTGAACCCGCACTGCAGAGGCTGCCAACAGCTTCACAGTGCAGTGCGCACCACCAAGGAGGCCCAGGATGGTCATTTTAAAATGCAAGTTAGATCATGTCACTTCCCTGTTTAAAATCTTCTGGCAGGTTTCCTTTTAATTCAGAAGAGAAGCCAAAGTCATGGCTAACAAAGTTCTACTAATTCAGGTTGTCTACAAACTGCTCCAACTTCATTTTCTCTCTTCATCGCTGCTCCTGACACATGATCCTCTGTGATGTTCCCAAAACACACTAAGCACATTTCACCTCAAGACCTAGATTGCTCTTCTCCCATTACTCTAGGTGACTTGCTCCCTCAATTCTTTCAGATCTCAAATGTCACCTTATTAGAAGAGTCTTGCCTGACTACCCATACAATATGGCTCCCAAACATATTCCCTTTTTTACCTATTCTCCAGAGTTTTTATTAGTAATCTTGTACACTACATATTTCGATGTTGGTATTTTTATTACTCTTATCCATCTATATACTATAAAATCCATGGAAGAAGACACTTTATTTATTTTATTCATGGGCAAATCCCCAAACCTAGAACAGTCTCTGGCACATAGAAAATAATAAGTATTTGTTGAAAGTGTCCAAGTTCCTCTAATAACACTCAGCTGACTTTAGACAGAGTATGATCTTTTGAATACACAACACAATTTACATTTTTCCCTGTCATACTACACTCAGCTGGTTTTGCTTTCAAATCATCTGCCTGGCCTGTGTAGTGATTTACATTTGAGACTCTTATTCCAAAAAAAAAAATAAAAGTCTTTTCCAAAGCATGCACCTGAAAATCCAGAACTCTATAACATAAAATAAGGTGGAACTGGCAGCAATCAGGTAACAGAAATAGTTCATCCTCAATAGACAATGGGGTAAATTATCTTTGTCTTTAGGCTCAAAATAAAATCTACTTTTCTGGGTTTTGTTGGGTCCTTCATTTTGAGTTCCCTTCATTAGTCATTACAGGATTCTTACTTTGAAAAAATATATATATATATATATTTGTGTTAATCTTAAATTGTTGAGTTAAAAAAAAAAAAAGGGAAAACAATTATCATCAAACGAGTCAGAAGAGGAGACAGAATTTTTACCTTGAAGAAGTCAATAAGAACTTCATTATTTTCCAGCCACACAATATTATGAAGATATTTCTCAGGAGTAGGGAGCGGAATTAACATTGGAAAGTTATTAAGTGCCTTTATTTTTAAAAGTAGTACCTAAAAACAATCAACAGTAATCAGATCCTGTAACAGGAATGGAACATTAGGTAAAAACTAAGGAAAATTTTAAAACTACTGTTAAATAAATTTAACATTGACTTTGGCTCATAGTTTTTTTCACCCTATTTAAATTATATTCTAACCTTTTTTTGACACTATTCACCCTTTATTACTATTTTCATTGTTAGACTAATCCAATCAACACTGTAATCTACACTGTCTTAATTTCAAATTATCTGAATGTCACAGTTAATTACTACAAAATTTAATACCATGATCTTTCTATTTTTTATGTGTATAATTTGTTTCTCTATATTTGTCCAATTTTAGATAATACAGTTCTAGTTTTTCAGCCTCTGAGAAGCCTTTTATGGCTAACGGACCTGGTAAGAGATAATCATTCATTTTTTAATTTGATAATCAAAGATAATAAAAAAATAAGAGATAATCAAACCATTTTTTTATTTGCCTGGCATACCTTGTATAAGTCATTACATTGCAATATTGATATTTTTACTTATCTGTCTCACCCTCCATATAATATAACATATGTTGATGGAATCAATTCAGGGAATTTGGGGTCATTGTTATAGTCATTAAATATCTGAATCTCCTCAAGAGCCCATAATGCTAGTAGGTATCCAACATATATTTACTTGATTAAATTGAATAAATTTATCTAGCTCTTTATGATCTGGGATTGATGATTATATCTCTTTGGCTGGCAATTAAGACTTATTAGGCAATTGAGTAACTGCTGAATGATGGATTTACCTTTCTAAATAGACCTACAGAAAAAAAAAAAGTCTCCTCATAGGGGCTATTATTTATTTCTTTTAATTAATGGACATCAAGCAATCAACTGAATCCTATATAGGATTGGATCTTTCAAGCAATCAACTGAATCCTTCAATGTGATATATGAAAAAAGTAGAATACAAAACATAATGTGTGGTTGTAGGAGACCCCTAAGGCATGCAGTGCTGAGACAAGGAAAACATCAAGGTCATGGCTAAAAAAACTGATCAGCTCAGGTCAGAGGACTGGCCCATGTACAGACTGGGATGTTCTTTTTTGTGTCAGCACTGCATGCCTTAGGGGAGACAACATGTGGCAAGGTGGAACTTGAGGGGTACAGTAAAAGAGCATGTTGTTCCCTCTGTCAGGCTAGAGAGCTAACCTTGGTCATTATGTTATGGAAACCGAAGGAGAGAACAGGAGGGGGAATATGCTCTGTTCCACATCCCTCTGGGATCATGGTGAGGCAGCACTGTCCAGGAAATGGCCAGAGTACGGCACAGAGTGGCCAGTAGCCAGGAATTGTCAATGGCAAGGAAAAGTCTAAGACACCCAGGAGCAGCTTCTCAGTGGGCAGACCTGGGACCAGACAAAATGTAGGACCAGAACATCTATTTCTGCTTTATGCTACCAAGCAGATAAACCTTTGTACAGAGTAGGAAAAACATTCTCATTTGCACAGATACACAGCCTGGATGGCAGATTTGATAGAGTGGTAGGATGAAACATTTAATATCTTTTCTACTATCCTATGTTTGTTTGTTTTTTTTTGGCACACAAATTTATAATTTTTCAAAAATTCATTTATTAGGTAATAATTAGAGTATCTCTCAATCCCTCCCCCAACACACACACACACACACAGACACTCACATACACAAGTTGGTTGCCTCCCTACCATGTCAACTTATATGACTCCAATCTCCCTTATCACAGCTGGTGGGACTGGACAGCACTTATTCCTTCAGTGGTTAGAGAAGCAGAAAAATCTATAAGTTTGTTGAGGGTACCAAAAGAAAATACCATAGATGGCAACACTGATAGGAAAAGAAAAATCTGAAAAGCCTTACAGGTCTTTGTTCTAGTCCCTTCCTGAGGCTTAGCCACATGGCCTGGCACTCTCCTTACTGTTAAATCCCCAACCTTACTTCTTTGTTAAACCTAGTTAATACTGGTTTCTATTACTTGCAACCAAGAAGTTTTTTTTTTTTAAGATTTATTTATTTATGCATACAAGAACTGGGGTACAGGCCAGAGCTGTGGGGGAATGAGAGGATTCACCAGAGACAGTGGGGAACAGAACAGGCTGGATGACTGAAATACACTGCTGAGGGGAGCAGCAGCCCAGACAGATCGAACTCATGCTGCAGTGGCTGCGGATAGCTTCCTAGTGCTGAGACTTAGGCATTTGCACAACCCACAATCAATCAGTTTTGACACAGAGTACACCAACTAGCACTGGTACTAGTTGCCATTGGCACTAACAAAGGCTGTAGGTAAATTACAGAATCAGCATCTGAGGTTAATCATTCTTTTCCCAATCTCTCTCACTCACTACACTCTGCCAAAGTAACAGAGTAGGCTGGGGTGTTGGGCTGATGGAATCAAACAATTGCTTTATTACCTTATTAATCTCTTTGCCCTCGTATTTATCAATGATGCCTCTTGACCAAAGGAAGGTGAGGTTTTTCAGAGCTTTAGCAATCACGTTCTGGATTGCCTGCCTAGTCTTCAAAGTAATGACAACATCACGACACTGGTGCTCGATATGTCCTGAAGCAAATGAAACTGTCAGCACACAAACTAGGCAATAATCACAATAGTAACCAGTATTTGTGGAATCACTTATAATTTCCAAAGTATTTTTGCAATATCCTCTCACTCCTGTTTTAGACAGTATTTATGAGGTCAGTAAGACTAGATCCAACACTTGATGGATAAGGAAATTGAAAACTGGCTTCCCCCACCAAATAAGAGAAAATCATTACGTCTACTTTCTTGTCACAGCACCTTTCACTTATCTTTATTAAAGAACACATTACTTTGTTGTATTATTGTTTACTCTTTTGTTTCATCATTATATTAAATAATTTGTGGGGGGGGGAAGAGACTGAGCGAGTAAGTGATTAAATACAAGAGCCCCTGGACTATGGTTGGTGAGTCTTTCTGAGATCAAATAGCATGTTCTTTCCTCTTTAATAAACATGAAATCAGTCATGGATGGGATTGAGAGTCCACACTAAAACAGCATCCTTGTCATCTTTGTAACCTTAGCATTAGAACAATGCCTGCAATGTAAGATCAGTCCCCAATCCACCCCCCACCCAAAATATTCAGACAGGTTTCTTCCAAGATGTCCAGAACAGTTTTTTTCCTAATATGTGTCACCTTAGTGTGTGGAACTAAGGTAAATCAAGACCCGCATGGGCCTCAGGAAAAACTACAATATTGTCACAGTCTTAAAGAATGTAGATTACCTAGATTTAGAATCATCTCCAGAAATAACCTTCTGTCCAAGAAAAAGGCAGGGAAAAACATCTACAGGCAAGGTTTTATTATATTAAATCATCCCATCTTTGTCATGTGAGACCCCCTCCTCTCTCCTTGATGCCCCGGATAGCTACCCCATTCCTTAGCACAAGATATAAGCCCTAATACATCCCATTTTCTTTAGAATGTATAGCCATGTGAATTCTTCAAATGTATGCAATAAGATTTGGTCTTTTCTCCTACAAATCTGCCTGTTGTTAATTTGTTTGCCATCTAGCCTGAAAAGAACCCAAAAGGGTGGGAAAATTTCCCCTGTGCTCCAACACCTGACACCTGAAAAGTGCTCAATCATTGTTTAAACTGAAATGTGCTGAGCAGTAAAGTGAAGGACAGCATCATCAAGAGCACATGTTTTGTGTCAGATACACGTAGGCATGAAATCTATCTCACTACTTTCTAACCATGTGACTTTTGGCAAGTAAACCTTTTTAAGCCTCAGTTTCACATCCATAATATGAAGACAATAATAGTATTTGCTTCACAGCATAGATAAAAGGGTTAAATAAGATAATGCACATAAAGCAGTTAGCACAGTTCCTGACATAATTAGCATTCACTAATCTATTGTAGTGACCATATGGGAGTAAGCATTCTGTTTTAGAGGACTGAACCAAGACAACTTTGCAATATTGTATACTGATCTAAAATAAAAGGCAGCAGCTCTGAGCTCGTAATATTCAAAAGCACAGAAATAAAAATCTGCCTGCGTGTAAATAGCAACTCTAGGTCCCGGATAATCTGAAACAATACCAAAGTATTTTGAGCTATTGTTTCCAACCTTACAGTTTCATTCATTATACCATGTTTTGATTTCGAAAGTATGATCCTCATGTGGCATCTTACAATATGATTATCAATGTAAAGTGTTTTTACTTTATTTCTTTGGTAATAATTTCATTTATTAAGGGCTTATCATATATCGGGCCCTCTACCAGATACTTTGGCACATCTTGGGAGCCTAATCCATAGTCCCCTTATGAGGAGACAGACATGAAAACAGCACGAAACAGGAGACAGTTCATCAAAACAGCATGAAATCCTAGGGCTCCTACTATGTGGGCTTCAACTCAAGCAGAGTAACTGTAGATATTCAAGAAATGGTATCTCTTAGAGGCCCACATTCCTGAGTATCCTTGCAAACAAAGCTAACCAAAACCAAAAAGAAAATCCCCTTGTCAAAGGTAATCTTCATGCCTTTTTCTTATAATCATAAGGAATCTAAACTTGCCATCCTCTCAAATAATTGAACTCCTCTAACTTTATACAATAATATATTGGTATGTTCATACCCTCCACCAGGCACTGTACTTTTTGTATGTCTGACCCATTACATATGTCCAATAAATTTTTATTTAATGAATGAGTGATTAAACGAGAATATAAACTTATTTTCTTTTGGTTAGATTATAGGATACTAAAGTATGTTTCAGGAAATCAAATATTCTAATCACCTACCTAGTTCTTTGATAGCATCTCGTTTGTTGGCTTCCAAAATGTCAAATAATTTCTGCAAGAAATTAAGAAAACATTAACTTCTTACCACATCAAGTGCATTTCTGGCTTTAGAATCTAGGGAAATCTCACTTCATTTACAATTTGCTTCCCCAAATCATACCGGCCCAATTGTTCCCTGTCAATTCTGTTGCTTTGCCCATGCTCACGCTCAAATTACAGTGAATACTGTTGCAGTCAGTCACTTACCTAATTACTGTGCCTAACATTTCTCATAAAAGATTAATGTGCACTCCTTCATGCACCAAAGAGAATGCCCCTTGCTAGAACCCCACCAAATGAGCAGATGTTTGGGGAACCATTCTATCGGGAACAAAAAGCACATGGAAGAATTGAGAAAACATGGTGTCAATTAGTTCATGTTTCCTAAGATAACTCCTGATGCAAATGAAGACTTAGTCTCACTCCCGGGCTAAACACTGTGTATTCAATTATAGCACAGGTATCTGTCAAATGCCCACTGTGTCCCAGGCACTGCTCTCCATGGAGCTTAGCTCCAACTGTGAGCATTCCTGAGACTTGTACATAGCCTTCCCAATAACCTTAAGAACAAAACAACTGCCAGGACCTGAGGATGGTCAGGTACAGAAGACTGAAAGCCTGCACTCAAACAATGCAGGGCAGAGTGCTCTTTACAAGGAATAACTGGGTTGTTATTTAACCTTTAAGCAGCTCAAGTTAAGTTTTTGTTGCCATTTTGAGTTTAGAAAAATCACCTGTAATCAGCCCCTCATTTTGAATATAAGAATGAGGTTTACAGTTTTTATTAATTGCTCCTTCTATTTTATAATATCAAATCATTATTGGGAAGGTGCCAAATTTCTCACCTGTTCAAGGCACCGAAGTGACTTGATCCAATCCTGCTTATACACACGCAAAGGCAGCCGCTAAGCCCATTTCATACCAAACTGGACTTAGGGAAATTCTGTAAAACTGCCCTAGAACAGCCTTGCATGAGAGGGCAGAGAAACTAACTCCTATCTACAAAGAGAATATAATCAAGAAAGCTGAGACATCTATGTGTCTTCTCCAAAGGTGAGTTGCAATGGCCAGTTTCTTTTTTTTTTTTTTTTTTTTTTTAAATATTAAATTTTATTTTTATATTCCCCCATACAATTGCAAACGCCCCATTCTGACCCCAATCCTTCCCCTCCTGCCCCCCACCCCCCAAAAAGTGTCTCTGGTTCATAGTTTTTTGTTGATTTTGATTTTCACTTTCTTATATTCATTTTCCTGGTCCCTTATTTAAGTTTTCTAGATTCCTGCTATGAGTGAGACCATCCGGTATTTTTCTTTTTCTTTTTGGCTTATTTCGCTGAGCATGATCCCTTCCAGTGCCATCCATGTTGCTGCAAATTGCATGTGTTTATCTTTTTTGAATGCTGAGTAATATTCCATGGTATATATGTACCACATCTTCTTGATCCAGTCATCTATTTTTGGGCATTTGGGTTGTTTCCAAAGCTTAGCTATTGTAAACAGTGCTGCTATAAACATAGGAGTGCAGGTGCTCTTTGGAATTGATGTTTCTGTGTCCTTTGGGTAAATACCTAGGAGTGGAATTGCTGGATCATATGGAAGCTCTATGTTTAGTAGGTCTAGAAATCTCCACACAGCTCTCCATAGTGGTTGGACCAGTTTGCACTCCCACCAACAGTGCACAAGAGTTCCTTTTTCTCCACATCCTCGCCAACATTTGTTGTTGCTAGATTTTTTAATATGTGCCATTCTCACTGGTGTGAGATGGTATGGTAGTTTTGATTTGCATTTCCCTGATTACAAGCGATGTTGAACATTTTTTCATATGTCTGTTGGAATGGCCAGTTTCTTGAACCATGTCACTTTGATATCTAAACCTCTCAAAAATCCATTTAAATCTTCACTAAAGACTTTTAAAAGGCCAGAAGGAATTCAATTAATTTCTTATACTTCAAGGCAACTGCCCCCAAATCTCTATGCCTTCTACCAAACTCCTTCTCATGCTTTAACTCTCCTCACTAAGTATTGGTTTTCCTTTTCTCCTCTTTCTGTTCTGAGTAAATAGCTCTGTGTTCTTTCTAATGTAGATCAATATAGACTTTCTGTAGTTCTTTTCATTTTAGACTCCAGCATTGAAAGTAAATCAATAATCAACACTATTGATAAATCTAAATAGTATTTCTCTGTCCTCTCTATAAGGATATCATGAAAGATGTTAGATACCTTCCTAAAATTCAGGCATGCTCTTCTTTAGGGATCCCTGATTATACAGGAAAATCTTAGCTGCTAAAGATAGTTAATAATATATTATTTGTATATTAGAAATTAAAAAGATTAGCATAGGTGTCTTCACAGCCTCTTTTCCTTTCCTGAATTCAATAAGGAAAAAAGCCGACAGTCTGAGATAATAAATGGTCATCTCGAAAAATAAGCATGAACACCAGAAGACAAAAACCCCAGTCCAGGGCCTCCCCAATGGCGCAGCGGTAGAGCGCTGGGTGGTGAAGCTGCCCGCGGCCTCTGCGGTGCCGGTTCGATCCCCGGCTGCTCCCCGGCCACAGGAGGAGGGTCCCGCATGGCACGCAGACCTCTCCTGCCGCCCACTGCTCCCCTCAGCAGTGTACTTCGGTCCTTCTGCCTGCTCTGCTCCCTGCTCTGGCTCTGGTGAATTCTCTCACCCTCCTGTGCTCTGACTGTACCCAGTGCATGTATAAACAAAAACAAACAAATAAATTAAAAAAAAAAAAAACCCAGTCCAGCCCTGATTTTTATGTTTACACACACAATATTAGGTTGAAATTTAGAAATCACTAGTCTCACTCAAGCTGAGAAAATCCCTTGCAGCTAGAGATACTAGATCCTCAATTTAGATCCTCATCTGCAAATAAAAGTATAACCACAAATCCTCAAATACTGGGCAGAAAAAAATGAAATAAAAGACAACAACCAAATATGACAAAAGGAAGAATGAAATTCAAAAAAGCAGAATTAATAAAGGAAACAGAATTTCTTTTAATAAAGAGATTCAAGAGAATATCACATTCAAGAAAGAAGGAAAGAAGGGATGTGGCCAGGAGGGAAAGAAAACAGTTGCTATGCAAAAGGAGCAATCACAGTTCCTGGAGATAAAAAAGGAGAAAAGAAACTCTAATAGGTGGGCTAAACAGCAGAATGGATTCAGCTAACAACTAAATTAATAACCTCGAAAATCAAGCTGAAGGGTTTCATGCAAAGAGCGCAGAGTTGAAGTTCATGAGAAAGTTGAAACAGGGACTAAAAGCAGAAATTCAAAAATCTGTTTAAAATGGTGGTAAGAGCCTGCACCCCTATGTTTATAGCAGCACTGTTTACAATAGCTAAGCTTTGGAAACAGCCCAAATGCCCAAAAATAGATGACTGGATCAAGAAGATGTGGTACATATATACCATGGAATATTACTCAGCATTCAAAAAAGATAAACACATGCAATTTGCAGCAACATGGATGGCGCTGGAAGGGATCATGCTCAGCGAAATAAGCCAGAAAGAAAAAGAAAAATACCGGATGGTGTCACTCATAGCAGGAATCTAGAAAACTTAAATATGGGACCAGGAAAAAGAATAACTATAAGAAAGTAAAAATCAAAATCAACAAACAACTATGAACAGAGACACTCTATGGGGGGTGGGGGGCGGGGAGGGGAGGGATTGAGGTCGAAATAAGGGGGTCGCAATTGTATGGGGAATATAAAAATTAAAAAAATTTAAATTAAAAAATAGTGTTTTTAAACATGAAAAAAATAATAAAATGGTGCTAAGAGGAGGAAAAAAAGCAGAAGGGAGAGAAATAAAGATATAATAGCAGATAGCAAGCTTCAGATTGCAAAGGCCCTATCAAGTGTTGCATGGAGTAATTTTATTTTTTACCCACACATGGTGAAACTATGAACTCCAAGGATAAAGAGAAAATCCAGAAGCCTCTAAAGGGCAAGAAAAATGTCACCTACAAAAGCAAAAGTAAAATCAGATGTGTATCAACAATGCTGAAAGAAGGCAATATCTTCAAAAAAATTTGAAGGAGTCAATGTGAGAGAATATAAAAAGATTTTTTGACATATAAGTCCATGCATAATATGAGGAAAAAATCACTTATGGAATAATCCAACATAATAAAAAGGAAAGTAAAAGATAGCTCACACAGGACTCCTCACATTCTGAGGAACAAAATCCAAAGAAAGAGAAAAAATAGCAGTTAGAAAATTTTTTAATCCACTTGACTGTTTCATTTTGAAGAATCTCAAGTACTAAATGTTTAATGACATTGAATCATACTGTCTAGGTTACAGGTTAAATCAAATGATAGGTCCTACAATAAATAATATTTATATAACCATAACAAAGGTTGGCTTTTGGGTTTCCATGTATAGAGTCATTTATTGGAAAGAATGAAGATTTTATACATACAGACTAAAAAGTAAATATCATAAACCTTTGTTTGTGAAATAATAGCTCCGAAAATTTGAGATGGGGAGAAAAAGAAAAGGTGAAAAGGGAGCAATGTTCTAAATTTCTTATACTTCATGACAGAGAGTAAATAAAATCTTGTTAAAGACAATAAATCAAGAGTTAAATGTGTATACATATTAACTAGAATTAGTATGACAAGCCCAAGAGGAATATGACACAGGAATGGTTACTGCTGGGCTGTCTCTGGGAAGTGGCAGAGTGAAGGGTTGGGAGGGATCTTTTTATTTATTATTATATTATTTTAAAGTTGTAAAATTATGATTATTTCTAACCACCCTTTCTGTGTTTTCTCCTCTCTTCTCTTGCAGATGATTGATTGATTGATAGATGATAGATAACGGACATAAATATTTGGATTCAAAGACCTTTCCCTTCAAAGACCTTCCCCTTTAAGCCAAGCAAAGCCATTGAGTACTCTTAACAGAAAGTTACACATGAAACTTAAAGTAACAATTATGCTGCTAAATTGCAAAGAGACCCAGAGTAGACAGACTGAGGTAAGGGAACCCAGTTATGAGGTGATTCAGTGCACTGACAAGTTTCTAATGAGCTTATGCCCTGATCTCCCATTTGGTACATACTTCATACTGCCCAGAAATGTGCAGGGCTTTGAATGATAAAAAATAATCAGTACTACTACTCATCCACTCCTTCCTCAGTGCCAGCATGTCAAGTTTTCACAAACAAATCTTTGCTCTTTTTCTCTCTTTCTTTCTCTCCGCTTCAGATGGTCCCTTTCTTTGAAGCCATGTTCAAATCTCAACTCCACTGAAGCGTTTCCCAGATGCCCTGCTTTTTAATAAGAAGTAGTAGATGCTTTTCTGTGAGGCTCATAAGTGAGTGTGATAAGGATAGCCAAACTGTAAAGAGCAGGGCCTATTCTCTGCATCATCTCCTATAACATAACAATTGAATCGCATTCACTTTTCAGTTTCTCTGTTGTGTTACATACATCCAGAAATAGTCCGAAAAGAAATGAATATATCTCAGTGTTCCCCCAAATGACTAGTTTTGTCTCTTACCTGATAAATTGATTCTCGGCTAGAAATCTGTTTTATTAAAAATTTGGTATCATCTTGACTTTTGACATAACCTTTTGTAATACTGTACATCAAGCTGAGACGCTTTTTGATCTGCACATCTACAATATTTATCAGTAGTGGTATCATTATCTGGAAACAATGGAGAGGGGAAAAAAACATGAAAATTTGATGAGGAAAAGCGCTCTGTAGGGCAGATTTTTTTTTTTAAGATTTATTTATTCAGGCCAGAGGTGTGGGTGGGAGGGTGAGAGGATTCACCAGAGACAGAGTGGGGAGCAGAACAGGCAGACTGACTGAAATACACTGCTGAGGGAAGCAGAGGGCAAGACGGGATTGGTCTGCTACGCCATATGGGTAGCTCCCTGGCCAGCTGGGGTTAAGCATAGCACTATGAAGCTACCCGCAGGTAGATATTCTTAAAGTGTGGTCTCTGGACCAGCAATGACATCACCCAGAGAGTCACTAGAATTGCAAATTCTTGCCCCTCACCCTAGTGCAGCCCAAACAGCAACTCTGGGTATGGGGCCCCCAAATTAGTATATTAACAAGTCTCCCAGAGCCTCCCTGGTGGCGCAAGGGGTTAAGCACTGCACTGTGAAGCTATCTGCAGCCTCTACAGCGTGAGTTTGATCCCCGACCAGGGACAACCCACATGGCGCAGCAGACCTCTCCTGACTCGCGTGCTGCTCCCCTCAGCAGTGTATTTCAGTCAGTCTGCCTGTTCTGCTCCCCACTCTGTCTCTGGTGAATCCTCTCAGCCCCCACCCACACACCTCTGGCCTGTACCCCAGTTCTTGTATGCATAAATAAATAAATCTTTAAAAAAAAAAACAAGCCTCCCAGACCACTTTCTAAAAATGGAAGCTCAATGAATAACTGATGTGGCCACTTTGAGGGGACTTCCCTACCTCTAACTTCCCCTCCCTTTTCTCCACACACCCAGATTTTGGGAGATCAGAGCGATGACCTCACAACGTGTGTGACAGTGACCACTGAATAAATTGTCTCTCAGCACCTCAGTTTCTTCATTCATAAGATAAGGACTTAGGGAATCCAAGATCCTTCTTAGCTCTTAATTTCTGTAGTCACAAGCTAGAAGTAAGAGAGGATGACACTTGGAGAAAATGAGATTTTAAATAAGACCTCCCTGGGCTCAAATACCAGCTCTCCAACTCTCTGGCTCTGTGACCCTAAGCAAGTTATTTTAGTGACTTTGAGGACTAAGTCTCCTCAACTGCAAAATTAAGATAATACCCAGGTACCAGCATAGGTGGAGGGGGATCAGGAATATGGGTGCAAAACCAGAAGTATGGAGGGCAGGATGCCATTTTCCACAGGGTGTTCAGGGAAGGCCTTGATGTGAAGGTGACATTTAAGTAAAGGTTTGGAGGATGTAAGAGATACCTATGCAGATAATCTGTCAAATCAGTCTGGGAGAGAAAAGATAGCACTCCTTCCTTTATTTCTTTTAAAATAATGAGGTTTCTTAACATTTAACAAGCAGTATAGAAAAAAAATAATTCTTAAAAATGGAAACTTACCTTGATGAGAGGAATAAGTCTAATTATTCTGCCATATCCTAATATTACTGTAATCTGGATTAGAGTCAAGTTATCTGGTCTCAGTCTGACAAAGTATATACACAAAATATCAACAATTCCAATAATCAAGATACAAAATTCCAAAGTATTCCAAAGGTCATAAAAGTATTGCCTTTTAAAAATTATTATCTGTTTAGAAAACAAATAGGACAATAATGTGAGGGGAGAACTCAAAAATCAACAAATACTCAACTGAAAATGAGCTACATCCTAAAAAAGGGGAGGTGACCCAATGGGCTGTGATAGGGGATTATGAAAACACCTTTGGTTAAGTATGGTATGATAACATAATCTGAAGAGATGTGAACCTATACTTCCAAATCACATGCAGTGATGTAAGGCAACATTACCTCAAAAAACATTAAAAACATAGAAAGTAAAAGTGTTTTTTAAGCGATTCACCTGGAATTAAACAAAAAATCCTTTTTAATTTCGACCAAAACTGCAATTTTATTTAAAAAATACAATCTTAATGATGTTGAAATGCCAAAAACAAGCAATGAAAAATTGCAGCAAGGGGGATTGTTATACTTTTATTTTTTTAAGATTTATTTATTTTTATACAAGAACTGGGGTACAGGCCAGAGGCACAGGAGGGTGAGAGGATTCACCAGAGACAGAGCAGGGAGCAGAGCAGGCAGACAACCGAAATACACTGCTGAGGGGAGCAGCAGGCGAGACAGGAGAGGTCTGCTCCGCCATGTGGGTATCTCCCTGGCCGGCTGGGAATCGAATCTGCGCTACAGAGATTGCGGACAGCTTCACAGCGCTGCGCTCAACCCGCAGTGCCACTGGGGAAGCCCTGTTATACTATAATTAATAATAATTAAAGTGTGAATATAAATGCCGATAAATTATCTTTAAATCATTTATAGTTCCTATGTTATGATAAGAGACTTAAGCATATTCGGTTTTATTCACTCATTTTTTTAAATTTTTCATTGATGTAATATTGCTGTATACTGTTGTTTATATTTTGGAAGTATAGGGTCCCCCCTTCCAGTAATGTTAGCATACACTCTCACCACCAAAGCATCCATAGTCCATTGTGCTCCCTCCCCACTTTATGCTCACTTCTCCCCCTTCCACTTCCCCTCTGAGTGCCTCTATCATCAGCTTTCAAGGATGAGTTTTTGAGTTTGGCTTTATCTGACCCTTTGCCTGGTTTCTTATATTCCACATATGAGTGACACCATCTGGTATTTGTCTTTCTCCTTTTGACTTATCTGGCTTAGTATAACCCCTTCTAACTCCATTCATGTTACCAAAAATGGCATGAGTTTATCTCTTTAGATCACTGAGTGGTATTCTATTGTGTATCTATATCACATCTTGATCTACTCATTTGTTTGGGAGCATTTAGATTGTTTCCATAGTTTGGCTATTGTAGATAGTACCACAGCAAATGAACCTTTCCCTTTGAATTAGTATATTTGTGTTCTTTGGGTATATAACCAGGCATGAAATTGCTGGGTCTTATGGTAGATCCATTTTTAATATTTTGAGAAACCTCGATACTGCTATCCATAGGGGCTGGACATGTTTACATGCCCACCAACAGTGTAAAAGTGTTCTTTTTTCTTTTTTTTTTTTTAAATAATAAATTTTATTTTTATATTCCCCCATACAATTGCAAAAGCCCCATTCTGACCCCAATCCTTCCCTTCCCGCCCCCCACCCCCCAAAAAGTGTCTCTGGTTCATAGTTTTTTGTTGATTTTGATTTTCACTTTCTTATATTCATTTTCCTGGTCCCTTATTTAAGTTTTCTAGATTCCTGCTATGAGTGAGACCATCCGGTATTTTTCTTTTTCTTTTTGGCTTATTTCACTGAGCATGATCCCTTCCAGCGCCATCCATGTTGCTGCAAATTGCATGTGTTTATCTTTTTTGAATGCTGAGTAATATTCCATGGTATATATGTACCACATCTTCTTGATCCAGTCATCTATTTTTGGGCATTTGGGTTGTTTCCAAAGCTTAGCTATTGTAAACAGTGCTGCTATAAACATAGGGGTGCAAGTGTTCTTTGGAATTGATGTTTCTGTGTCCTTTGGGTAAATACCTAGGAGTGGAATTGCTGGATCATATGGAAGCTCTATGTTTAGTAGGTCCAGAAATCTCCACACAGCTCTCCATAGTGGTTGGACCAGTTTGCACTCCCACCAACAGTGCAGAAGAGTTCCTTTTTCTCCACACCCTTGCCAACATTTGTTGTTGCTAGTTTTTTTAATATGTGCCATTCTCACTGGTGTGAGATGGTATCTCATGGTAGTTTTGATTTGCATTTCCCTGATTACAAGTGATGTTGAACATTTTTTCGTATGTCTGTTGGCCATTTGCATTTCCTCTTCAGAGAAGTTTCTTTTTAGCTCTTCTGCCCATTTTTTGACTGGATTATTTTCTTTGTTGTTGCTGAGTCTCATCAGCTCTTTGCAGATTTTTGTGATCAGTCCTTTATCATTAGTGTTGGGTGCAAAAATGTTCTCCCAGTCGGTGGGGTTTCTCTTTGTTTTTGTTATTGTCTCTTTTGCTGTGCAGAAGCTCTTTAATTTGATGTAGTCCCAGCTGTTTATCTTTGCCTTCACTATCACTGCTTTGGGTGATGTGTCTGTAAAGATGTCTTTGATGTGCAAATCACGTAGTGTTTCGCCTATATTTCCTTCTATGTATTTTATGGTTTCAGGTCTTATGTCTAGTTCTTTAATCCATTTTGAGTTGATTTTTGTGTATGGTGTGAGGTAGTGGTCAAGCTTCATTCTTTTGCATGTAGCGACCCAGTTTTCCCAGCACCATTTATTGAACAAACTTTTTTTGCTCCAATGCATATTCTTTGCTCCTTTGTCAAATATTAGTTGACCATAAATCTGTGGGTTTATTTCTGGATTTTCTATTCGATTCCATTGGTCTGTATGTCTGTTCTTGTTCCAATACCATGCAGTTTTGATGATTATGGCTTTGTAGTATAGTTTGAAGTCTGGGAGTGTGATGCCTCCATTTCCTTCTTTTTTTTTCAGGAGAGCTTTGGCTATTCGGGGTTTTTGGTGATTCCATATGAATTTCATCAATAATTGTTCTATTTCTTTGAAGAATGCCATTGAGATTTTGATTGGAATAGCATTGAATCTGTATATTGCTTTTGGTAGGATGGCCATTTTAATAATGTTTATTCTTCCAATCCATGAGCAGGGGATGTCTTTCCATTTCTTTGTGTCTTCTTCTATTTCTTTTAACAGTGTTTTATAGTTTTCTTTGTATAGGTCCTTTACCTCTTTTGTTAGATTTATTCCCAAATATTTGATTTTTTTTGTTTCGATAAGAAAAGGGATGGTTTTTTTTGATTTCTTCTTCTTCAGATTTGTTGTTTGTGTATAGGAAGGCTACTGACTTTTGCGTGTTGATTTTGTATCCTGCCACTTTACTGAATTGATGAGTTGAATTAGTTTTTCTGTGGAGATTTTGGAGTTCTCTATGTATATTATCATATCATCTGCAAATAGTGATAGTTTGACTTCTTCTTTTCCTATTTGGATTCCTTGGATGTCTTTCTCTTGTCTTATTGCTCTGGCTAGGACTTCCAGTATTATATTGAAAAGCAGTGGTGAGAGTGGACATCCTTGTCTTGTTCCAGATCTTAATGGAATTGCTTTCAGCTTTTCACCATTGAGAATGATACTGGCTGTTGGCTTGTCATAGATGGCCTTTATGATGTTGAGGTATGTTCCTTGTATCCCAAGAATTTCAAGGGCTTTTATCATGAATGGGTGTTGCACTTTGTCGAAAGCTTTCTCAGCATCTATTGATATTATCATATGGTTTTTATATTTCTTTTTGTTGATGTGTTGGATAACGTTGATTGATTTTCGGATGTTAAACCATCCTTGTGTCCCTGGAATGAATCCAACTTGGTCGTGGTGAATTATCTTATGGATACATTGTTGGATTCTGATAGCTAAAATTTTATTGAGGATTTTTGCATCAGTGTTCATTAGGGAGATTGGCCTGTAGTTTTCCTTTTTTGTGTTGTCCTTATTTGGTTTTGGTATTAGTGTAATATTGGCTTCATAGAACGTGTTTGGTATTGTCCCTTCCTTCTCAATTTTTTGGAAGAGTTTGTGAAGGATAGACACTAATTGTTCTTTTTTCTTTGCATCCTTGCCCATACTTGTTTTTGGTCTTTTTGATATGGGCCATTCTCATAGGAATGAGATGATCTCTCATTGTGGTTTTGATATGCATTTCCCTGATGATAAGTGATGGTGAAAATGTTTTTATGTGCCTGTTGGCCATCTGTATGTCTTTTGAGATCTGCCAATTTAGCTCTTCTGTCCATTTTTTGAATGGGCTATTTTCTTTTTGTTGAGTTGTATGAATTATTTGTGTATCTTTGATACCACACTTTATCAGTCCCTGTTCTTCCATTCAGTAGCATGTCTTTTTGTTTTGGTTATGGTTTCTTTTGCTGTGCAGAAGCTTCTTAACTTGATGTAGTCCCAATTGCTTGTGTGCTCTTTGTTTTCATTACTATTGAAGACATATCCAATACATCATATCCAAGACATCACTGAAGTTTATGTTGTGAAGTGTTTTGCCTATGTTTTCTTCTATATGTTTAATGATTTCAGGTCTTACATCCAAGTCTTTTATCTACCTTGAGTTGATTTTTGTTAATGGTGTGAGATAGTGATCTAGTTTCATTCTTTTGCATGTAGTTGTGCAATTTTCCCAACACCATTTATTGAAGAGGCTTCCTTGCTCCAATGTATATCCTTCATTTCTTTGTTATGTATTAACTGTCCATATAGGTGTAGGTTTATTTCTAGGGTCATGATTCTATTCCATTGTTCTATGTGTCTGTTTTTGTTCCATTGCAATGCTGTTTTAATAACTATAGCTTTATACTACAATTTAGTATAGTTTGCAGTCTGGAAGTGAAATACCACCATTTTTCCTCTTTTTTGTCAGGATTTCTTTGGCTATTCAAGGTCTTTTGTGGTCCTACATGAATTTCAGTAACATTTGTTCCATTTCTTTGAAGAATGCCATTGAATTTTTTTATAAAGATTGCATTGAATTATACAATGCTTTAGGTAGGATGGCCATTTTGACTATATCAACTGGCTCATGATGCCAATCCATGAGTAGCTAATATCTTTCCATCTCTTTGTGTCTACTTCTATTTCTTTTAACAATGTCTTATAGTTTTCTTTGTAAAGGTCCTTTACCTCCTTTGTTGAGTGTACTCCCAAGTATTTGTTTTTAGTGTGACTGTAAAATAAATTATTTTCTTAGTTTCTTCCTCTTCCAGCTCACTATTTGTATATAAGAAGGCAACTTACTTTGAGTATCAATTTTATAACTTGCCACTTTGCTGAACTGATTTATTGTTTCAATTTGTTTTTCAGTGGCATTTTTAGGGTTTTCTATGTATATTGTCATGTCATCAGCAAATCAAGATAGCTTTACTTCTTTCCTGGTATGGATTCTCTTTATATCTTGCCTAAATTGCTCTAACATCATTTCATTCTTTCCTTTTCTATCCAGATTTTTTGTTCATTCACATCTTCAAGTACACTGATTTGTTCTTCCATTTGGTCTATTCTACATTTACAGCTTTCTTCTGAATTTTTCATCTCCTCTATTGCTCTTTTTATAGGCTGAATTTTCAATGTTTTCTTATTTAAAATTTCATTTTAATCTTCTGTTCATTGATTTTATTTCATTCATTTAGTCCATTCATTTTTCTTCCATTTATTTGAATTTCTTTATCATGGCAATTTTTTTTATCTCCAATATGACTTTTATTTTATTTTTTTAATTATAAATTTTATTTTTATATTCCCCATACAATTGCGACCCCCTTATTTTGACCCCAATCCCTCCCCTCCCTGTACTTCACCCCCATAGAGTGTCTCTGGTTCATAGTTGTTTGTTGATTTTGATTTTCACTTTCTTAGAGTTATTCTTTTTCCTGGTCCCTTATTTAAGTTTTCTAGATTCCTGCTATGAGTGAGACCATCCGGTATTTTTCTTTTTCTTTCTGGCTAATTTCGCTGAGCATGATCCCTTCCAGCGCCATCCATGTTGCTGCAAATTGCATGTGTTTATCTTTTTTGAATGCTGAGTAATATTCCATGGTGTATATGGACCACATCTTCTTGATCCAGTCATCTATTTTTGGGCATTTGGGTTGTTTCCAAAGCTTAGCTATTGTAAACAGTGCTGCTATAAACATAGGCGTGCAGGTGCTCTTTGGAATTAATGTTTCTGTGTCCTTTGGGTAAATACCTAGGAGTGGAATTGCTGGATCATATGGAAGCTCTATGTTTAGTAGGTCCAGAAATCTCCACACAGCTCTCCATAGTGGTTGGACCAGTTTGTACTCCCACCAATAGTGCAGGAGAGTTTCCTTTTTCTCCACATCCTCGCCAACATTTGTTGTTGCTAGTTTTTTTTAATATGTGCCATTCTCGCTGGTGTAAGATGGTATCTCATGGTAGTTTTGATTTGCATTTCCCTGATTACAAGTGATGTTGAACATTTTTTCGTATGTCTGTTGGCCATTTGCATTTCCTCTTCAGAGAAGTTTCTTTTTAGCTCTTCTGCCCATTTTTTGACTGGATTATTTTCTTTGTTTTTGTTGAGTCTCGTGAGCTCTTTGTAGATTTTTGTGATCAGTCCTTTATCATTAGTGTTGTGTGCAAAAATTTTCTCCCAGTCGGTGGGGATTCTCTTTGTTTTTGTTATTGTCTTTTTCTGTGCAGAAGTTCTTTAATTTGATGTAGTCCCAGCTGTTGATCTTTGCCTTCACTATCACTGCTTTGGGTGATGTGTCTGTAAAGATGTCTTTGATGTGCATATCATGGAGTGTTTCCCCTATATTTCCTTCTATGTATTTTATGGTTTCAGGTTTTATGTCTAGTTCTTTAATCCATTTTGAGTTGGTTTTTGTGCATTGGGTGAAGTAGTAGTCAAGTTTCATTCTTTTACATGTAGCGACCCAGTTTTCCCAGCACCATTTATTGAACAAACTTTCTTTGCTCCAATGCATATTCTTTGCTCCTTTGTCAAAGATTAGTTGACCATGAATCTGTGGGTTTATTTCTGGATTTTCTATTCAATTCCATTGGTCTGTGTGACTGTTCTTGTTCCAATACCATATCATGGCAATTTTGAATTGTGTTTTTGATAGGAAGAACAGATCTCCCTTGGTTTGTGATTGGGTTCTGGAAATTTGTTCTCCCATGGTGTAGTATTCCTCCCCCATGGACTCATGTTGCCATTTGTTGTAGTTTTCCACCTCCACCTTTTTGTTTATTTATTTTGCTTTCAAGGACCCTCTGCTGTGGTAGGACTTCTTCTGTATATGGCTCCTTCCATCCACTGGGCTGAATGGATTCTTACCAGGCTCACACAAGTCAGGGCTGCTGCCCTGGGAGTTGCTGCCTTGGGGGGCTTTAACTGCTGCCTTGAAAGCTTCAGTGGTACCTCCCATTCTAGGCGTAGCCTCTCCCACCTATCCTGGACCAGAAGTGGCCTTACTATGTCTGTGTGCCTGTGACTGCTGCATTGGTGTCCTTATTTATTTTTTGCATCATTATAAGGAAGTGTTTGAGGAAAACACCCATGTATCAATTTTAAGTTCTCATTTACCTGATCTTTGAGATTCTCTACATTTTTATGATACTTATTTTATCTGCTCTTTAAGACTGTGACTATTATACTGATTTCATTTATTAAATCCATAAAATTCAGGATAACTAATATTCTAGGATTCTATCAATCATAAAGCAAATGATAAAAAAAGATTTAAAATACCTGAAATATTATTTTTATAGAACATATTTCTTTTATTACAGTACCTTCAATGCTGACTCTAAGAAATAAAAAAATATAAAGTAGTAGTTTATGAATAGCAATGCTGTCACATTTAACTCTCTTGTCAGTGCACATAGATGTACTATCAAAGGATAAATATATGTTAATGCCATAATACATCCTGCATATTCAAATTCGTCTGAAAATACAATGTGATTTGCAAAAGTCATAAATTTATTATTCCTAAAAAAGAGAACAAATAAAATGTCAGACCATTTTAAAAGTATGACAATTAAGATCTGAAGTTCAACATTTACTTATACAAATCATTAATTTGAAGAAGAGTATAATTAATATAAAATATAGATGAGTAAAAATCTAAGATATACTTTCTACATATAAAATTCATAATGGAGAATGATAAAAATATGGTTCTTGTTAACCTATATCAGGAATGGGGAACATTTTTTAAAATGACAGCTATGAGCACATGGAAAATAATGTAGAGATTTATATATCAAAAGCAAGAAAAAAATAAATTTAGGTTAAAAATATCAGTATTGTTTAAAAGTAAGAATAGGCAAAACATCCTATTCAATAATTAGCATCAAAAACTAGCATTTAAAAAATTTTCCAATCATTATAGAATAAAACCTAACAAAAAGAAGTTATTTAGATATATGTCAAGACTCTAGGGTTTTACTTTTTATATTTCTCTTCAAACTTAATAAATGGATGAAAGTAAAAAATTATCAGAATTTGTTATGAAAGGTATGTTAACTAAAATTTAGTTGCGTTGATGCTCCCAATATCTTCTCATTTTGACATCTTCTGTTATCAGAAAAATCTTGCCTTCCTGCTCCAAAATGTTTATAAACTCATAAGTTATGCAACAAAACAAAATTAACCAAATTTAAGTAAAAGCTGTATTTTGTGATTTTTGGGAAAAGGTTACAGGTATGAAGACCACTTTGTGGTTTTCCTAATAACAGATACTAACAGAACCACCCTATAGCACTGGTGAAGTTGAGAACTAGTTCTAGTTCATAAGTTTGATGTTTCTCACCCCTGCTCTGTGTTATACCCAGAAGAATATCAAAGAATATGTAAGCAGTCGAGTATGTAACATGACTGTAAGAAATCACAATTAAAATTTGAAAAGGGTCTCACTGATGGTAAAGGGGTTAAACACAGCACTGTCCACAGCTGTCCACAGCCTCTGCAGCACATGTTCAATTCCCAGCTGGCCAGGGAGCTAACCCACATGGTGCAGCAGACCATTCCTGTCTCGCCATGATGCTCCCCTCAGCAGTGTATTTCAGTCAGTCTGCCAGTTCTGTTACCCATTCTGTCTCTGGTGAAACCTCTCATTCCCCGTACCACTGGCCTATACCCCAGTGCTTGTATGCATAAATAAATATACCTTTTTAAAAAAAAATTAAACTTGAAGAATCCAAAATTGACCATCCTTGTCTTTTTCTTGATGATGATTTTCTTATAGAGATGTCAGTGAAGTTGTTAAAAGAAAATGCAGGAAAAAGAACCAAGCACCCTGCTCCTTCACCACTCAATCAATAGGAGTTGCCCATAAAATTCAGTTGTTGTTTTTTTTTTAAGATTTATTAATTTATGCAGACAAGAGCTTGTGTGTAGGCCTGAGGTATGAGGGGTGAGAGGATTCACCAGAGACAGAGTGGGGAATAGAACAGGCAGACTGACTGAAATCCACTGCTGAGGGGAGCAGTAGGTGAGTCAGGAGAGGTCTGCTGCACCATGTGGGTCACATCCCTGGCCAGGGGGATCGAACTCATGCTACAGTAGCTGCAGATTGCTTCACAGTGCTGATACTTAACCCCTTGCACCACCAGGGAGGCACCCCAAATTCAGGTTTTTTTAATGAGGAAAATCAAGATACTCTATTCTGGCAATATAGCAAAGGTCATATCTTCAAGTATATTGTAATTAAAAGTTTATAATACTTACGCACGTGGAGTCATAGGTGCCTTATATTTATGCTGTTTTAATACAGATAAAATGTATTTAAACTTCATAAGCCAACTTTCAGCTTTTACGTAAGATGAAACATCATAAATACTCATGAATCTAACAAAGACAAGTATAACATATGTTATAATAAAGATAAAGTGCTTAGTCCTGAGCTGGTATGTGTATATACATATCCCTCTACCTACTACCACAGTCATGGCACAGCAACATCTTTAGTGTGAGACTCACAGTGTATTTGTTCTTGGAAACATTCATGACTCTAAGTTAGAACATAATTAAAATTTCTCCAGACCAATTCTTTGGAGTTCAGAATCAAGCTTTCTTTCATCATATCTTGTCTAGCCCAGGCTTCTCCAAGTCCCTGAAGGCTGTTCCTTCCCCAAGCTATATCTAGGAACTGATGATAAGATAGATTAACATGTTACTGAAATATTAACTATCATCCAGAGAGGATCTCCTATCATTGTTGCCACACAAATTTGTCTTAGACCATTTGTTATATAATATTTGTCAGGACAGACCCAGATAAGGGTATCTAAGACACTTGAGTTTTTTTCCCGCCAGGCTTTATAGCACCATCTATCAGCACCATCAGTTGGGTCAACTCCTCCAGAACATACTCCCCTACACCCCCAACAGTCTAATCGCATACTCTAGGCATCACTACCTTTCCTAGCCAGTCATTTAGTGAATATGATATAAAGGCAAAATAATTATAACAGTAATTGAAATAATATGGGTGCTCATTCATGTATTAATCTCTTATCTACCACAGTGTAGACAATACTTCCTCCAGAATCTTCTAGTATTGCCAAGGTTATGAACCTTCAGGGGAAAAATTGTAAACAAATAAAATATAAAGTGGATGGATAGATGGATGGATGATGGATGGATAGAAAAATGGAAAGAAAAATAGATAGATGAAACTTGATTGATCTGGACATTCAAGTCTTAATTTGTTCACATGCCCATTTTCCCATGCCCATTCAATATTGGAAATACGAATTAGAGAAGTATTACACTTACTTTCCTTGGATGGAGCAATAGCTTTTGGCTGCACCAATTAATATCCGGGCTGCTTCTACACTAAGGAATCCATCATTACATTGTTTTTCAAAGTTACTCTAAACATAGAATTTTTTAAATAAAAATTAAAAAGGATTCAAACAGAAATGTATTGTACTCTACTTGACCTTTTCATAGCCCCCACAATTACTATTGAACTCAATATATGAAAACACAATTTTACAAAAAAAATTATATAGCAGGAAAATTTCAAAGTAAATATTTACAGAATATTCATTTTTTTAATTTCTTATTGAATACTGGTTTATAACATTAGCTAGGTTTCAGGTGTACATCATTATAAGTCAATATCTGTATATACAGCATTATTTTCACCACAAAATGTCTAATTCTATCTTCCACCACATTTGAATCCTTTCACCTGACTTGACCCTCTATTGTTCTCCCCTTTCTGATAAATACTAATTTGGTCTTGAGGGGTGGAGAGTGGGAGGTGGGAATGAGGTAGGCACCAGGTCCTAGTAGGAATTCTACAAAAAGAATGTGAGCATAACACTACTCTGGGTAAGAGCCTTTCAAACTCTGACATTTTAAATTTATATTTATAGAAATGTTTAAAAGGATGATAATACAGTCTGTCTGGATATTTTTGTATATAGGTTCTTAAATATATTCTTCAAAAAGAACCTGGAAATAGGTTCTTCATTGGGAAAAATAAAAGAAGGAAGCCATAGATTAAAAGAGATTTAATACATGTTCATTGCAATGCATAGACTTTATTGGAATCCAATTTAAATATGATCTGAAAATATACATTGATCATACTTATCAGGCCATTGAAAAATTTTTTTTCTTTTTTTATTAATATATTTCATTTTATAAAATTCTTACATCATTTTTCATCTTTGCATAATGTATGCATTTTCATTATGGTTATATTCCCCATACAATTGCACCACCCCCCCTTATTTTGACTCTTCCTTCTTCTTCCCACCTCCCCTTCCCCTCCCCCCTCGTAGTGTGACTCTGGTTTATAGTTGCTTGTTGATTTTGATTTTTACTTTGTATTGATTAGTCTTTTTCCTGGTCTCTTATTTAAGTTTTCTAAATTCCTGCTATGAGTGAGACCATCCGGTATTTTTCTTTTTCTTTCTGGCTTATTTCGCTGAGCATGATCCCTTCTAGCTCCATCCATGTTGCTGCAAATGCATGTGTTTATCTTTTTTGATTGCTGAGTAATATTCCCTTGTGTATATGTACCACATCTTCTTAATCCAGTCATCTATTTTGGGGTATTTGGGTTGTTTCCAAAACTTAGCTATTGTAAATAATGCTGCTATGAACATAGGCATGCAGATACCCTTTGGAATTAATGTTTCTGTGTCATTTGGGTAAATACCTAGGAGTGGAATTGCTGGATCATTTGGAAGCTCTATGTTTAGTAGGTCAAGAAATCTCCACACAGCTCTCCATAGTGGTTGGACCAGTTTGCACTCCCTTGCCAATATTTGTTGTTGCTAGTTTTTTTAATATGTGCCATTCTCACTGGTGTGAGATGGTATCTCATTGTAGTTTTGATTTGCATTTCCCTGATTACAAGTGATGCTGAACATTTTTTCATATGCCTATTAGGCCATAGGCCATTGAAAATTTGACCATTCACTTGATGTTTGATGTTATTAAGGAATTATGAAATTTCGGTGCAATGTTAATATTTCACTGTTTTTTAGAAGACTTTAAAGTTTAGTGATACATGCTGAAATATTTATAGATGAAATGATACAATATTTGGGATCTGTTTCAAAATAATATGGAGGGTGGGGGAATGTAGCACCCCTGTGACTTAGCAGCAGGTTTAGTCAAGTGTATAGTTTATATGGCTAGGTGATCGGTAGACAGTTCATTACACTATTCTATCTAACTTTGTATATGTTAGGAATTCTTCCTAATACTATGGTTTAAAATGAAAGTAAAAAAGAACTCTGGGCATAGTGAATAATTTTGATATTTGCAACACTGAATAAAATTTATCCCATTAGAATATAGTCCCAATTTAAAATAAGCAATTTGAGGAGAGGAGGAAGGGGGCAACATAAAATAAAATGTGCAATTTGATAAGTTAGTTTAAACTTATTTTCCTAGTAATATTCCTAAATTTACATTGAAATTTTTAAATAGTAAATTTTTTTATAAGTTTTTTTTTTTTGTTTTGTTTTTGTTTTTGTTTTTGTAGAGGCATGCTTTATTTATTTGTTTGCTTGTTTTGTTTATACATGCACTGGGTACAGTCAGAAGCGCGGGAGGGTGAGAGAATTCACCAGAGCCAGAGCAGGGAGCAGATCAGGCAGAGGGACTGAGGTACACTGCTGAGGGGAGCAGCGGGCGGCAGGAGAGGTCTTCACGCCATGTGGGACCCTCCTCCGGTGGCCGGGAAGCAGCCGGGGATCAAACCGGCGCCGCAGAGGCCGCGGGCAGCTTCGCAACCCAGCGCTCAACCGCTGCGCCACCGGGGAGGCCCCTTAAATAGTAAATTTTAAAATATTTTAAGAGAACTGTTGGTTCACTAGATTTATTTTAACTTAAAAGCTTTATAAGAGTTAAATAAGCACTTGACAGAATTTTGTATAAAAAGAACTCAAATATACATGGAAATTATAAAAGTGATTTCAAATATTTGAAGATGTTTAAGTAAGCAGATACGTAAATAGAGCCAAATATTATTCAGATATCCCTCAAAAGTAAACTGCTAAAAATTGCTAAACTTATAAACAAAGTAATAAGACTTGTGACTTGAACTTAAAGCTTAGGAGGTTTTTTTAACTTTCATAAATAAAACATTAATTTTAACAACCAAAGCATTATTGATGGGGGGAGTTGTACTCGCCTTAAAACCATCTTTAAGATTAAAGGCATGGCAAGTATTTTTTTTTAAAAAGCAGATATGGGGGGCCTCCCTGGTGGCACAAGGAGTTAAAACGCAGCACCTATGAAGCTGTCTGCAGCCACTGCAGCACGAGTTCAATCCTGTGCCAGGGAGAAAACCCACATGGCACAGCAAACCTCTCCTGTCTCTCCCGTCGCTCTCCTCGGCAGTGTATTTCAGTCAATCTGCCTGTTCTGTTCCACATTCTGTCTCTGATGAATCCTCTCACCTCCCACACCTCTCTACCTCAGTTCTTATGTGCATAAATAAATAAATCTTAAAATAAAAACAGATATGGGAACAGTACTGACCATTTGTATTATAGCAACATTCAATCTGGCTTCTTCTATTAAAGCTTCATCTGTTGGAGACTCCTCCTCTGTTTCATTACCATGTGAAACATGGGAAAGTGGAACAGCATCAGCCTAAGTTTAAAAACATATAGTGATGAAGTTAAAAAATAAGGGAAAATAATGAGGAGATGTCAAATAATTCACCCAACAAAGATCTCAATAACCCAAATCAGAATGGCTAAAATGGTACTCCATTGTATAACTAGATAATGTTTTTGATATAAGAAGTGCTACTTTCATTTGTGGCTTAGGGACAGATCATTCGTGGAGATTTGGAAATCAAACTCTTCCCCAAACCTCTATTTTTTTTTTTTTTTTAGAGGCATGTTTTTATTTATTAATTTATTATATTTGTTTGTTTGTTTTGTTTATACATGCACTGGGTACAGTCAGAAGCGCGGGAAGGTGAGAGAATTCACCAGAGCCAGAGTGGGGAGCAGAGCAGGCAGAAGGACTGAAGTACACTGCTGAGGGGAGCAGCGGGTGGCAGGAGAGATCTGCGCACCATGTGGGATCCTCCTCCGGTGGCCGGGGAGCAGCCGGGGATCGAACCGGCGCCGCCGAGGCCGCGGGCAGCTTCGCAACCCAGCGCTCAACCGCTGCGCCACCGGGGAGGCCCCCAAACCTCTATTTTTGACAGATCTCTGAATCAGAATGTGTTTTCTGCTTTTTATAAAGACGTAGACGGGAAGAGAGCTCTTGTTCCTTAACCTGTTGGAAACATCAGCTGGGCAGAGACCATTGATAATCAGCAATCAGTATGTAAAACCAACCATTCTCCAGTATTGACAAATAAGGCTAGGTCACCAAGACCATTCCTTTAGAGACAGAAGTCAAACAAGTCTTTTCACTAAGATAACAAAGCTAATAAATTGATCCCTCAGTTTTCTCACATTTAATTAGCAGGATAGATGGATGGGTGAATGATGGGACTGATGATTAGATTATCTTATCATCTATCTTGTGAAGCACAAGAGGCAGATTCACGAAGGGAAAGGAAGGCTATTTTTTGCCAGCTATCAACTCACAGGTATGATACATTCAATCCTCGTTTTTTCTTCCACTAATGTCCAATTAACATTTGTCAAAATTTTTTCTGCTTTAGATAAGTTTATTGTATTTTGTATTATCTCCTGTATGTGCATAATGGCATTTTGCATGGCTATTTGTCTTGGGAAGGAAACAGCACATAAACCTGTGACCAAAAAAAAAATCAAGGACCTCAATAGCATACAGTGAAAGTTGCCAGGGGAAACGAAAAGGTCACACACTGTAATGATATTTTGGCCTTACCTGCATAGTGAAACCAGAGTGCTTAGAGCAAGGGCAGATTTTTGTCTAAACTTTTCCAGAAAATGACTCAACTGTCTGTATCCTTTTGGCTATATAGCTCAATTTTTTAAAGATTTATTCATTTATGCATACAAGAACTGGAATACAGGCCAGAGGTTGGTGGGCGGGTGTGTGTGTGAAAAGATTCACCAGTGACAGAGTAGAGAGCAGAACAGGCAGAATGACTGATATACACTGCTGAGGAGAGCAGCGGGTAAGACAGGAGAGGTCTGTTGCACTATGTGGGTAGCTCCCCCGCCTGCCAGGGATCGAACTCTTGCTACAGAGGCTGTGGATAGCTTCATAGTACTGTGCTTAACCCCTCGCACCACAAGGGAGGCCCAATATATAGCTCAATTTTATCTGACTCAACACTAAAGAATGTTTTATTAGTTTCCTTTTTTTTCATATACAGGTTTCCCCCACTATCCAAAAGTAGAAGGTTCCTATTTGGTGTGATTTGGTAGGTTATTTTTTGGTTCTGAGAATGCTACCACCATTAATTTATACGAGAAAATTTTTAAGCATTCTTAGTCCCAAAAAATAACCTACGATTTCATAGCAAATAGAAACCTTCTTCTTTCGGTTAGGGGGGTAACCTGCAGCTGGAGACATGATTCATTAATTTAAGGCATCTAATCTGTATTTCTCAGCATATAGAAAACTATGTGTATCTTCTACATGTAGAAGGTCTGATTATTAAATTATACAAATTCCTGGGCTCCACTCTCTACCTAGAGAATCACATTGGTCAGGAAATAAGCATTTTAATAAGTTCTCCAACTAATTCTTATACATATAAAATGGAAAGGTTACTGCAATATAGACCCTCCAAATCTAACATCCCTATTTCTGGGCCAGCAACCCTACATGTCCAAAACTTGTAGCAGTTTATATTTTCTGGAGGTATGAATTTGAAGTTATAGCTAAGAGACTCAATTACCAAAAAAAGAAAATTAGTGGGCCTCCCTGGTGGTGCAGCAGTTGAGCACTGGGCTGTGAAGCTGCCTGCAGCCTCTGCAGCACCAGTTTGATCCTTGGCCGGCCAGCGAGAGTCCCACATGGCGCACAGACCTCTCCTGCCACGCCCGCTGCTCCCCTCAGCAGTGTAATTCGTCAGTCTGCCTGTTTGGCTCCACGCTCTGATGAATTCTCTCACCCTCCTGCGCTCTGACTGTACCCTGTACAGTCAGAAAAAAAAAAAAAGAAAATTAGTGAATGAGCTTAGCCTACTCACTTGGAATTCCATCTCAATAAAACTTTCTTTCTTTGTAATTGCACATAAAACATCTCATAAAGTTGAAATCATTTCTTAATATTTCAGTTTAATGCTATTGTATTGTCTACAGAACACTGTATACAGTAGTATCTGACTTGGAGGGAATCCAGAGACAGAGTGGGGAACAGAACAGGTGTATTGACTGAAATACATTGCTGAGGGGAACATTGGGTGAGACAGGAAAGGTCTGCTTTGCCATATCGGTAAGCTCCCTGGCTGGGGATTGAACTCATGCTGCAGAGGCTGCAGATAGCTTCACAGTGCTGAGATTTTTAACCCCTTGCACCACCAGGGAGGCCCCCTCACTTGCCTAATTAGAACCCACTAATATGATGGAACAACAGCCACTTTCCAGTTGTTTTGAGAAAACACAAGTATATGTGTGTGACCCCTTGGTGGCACCAAAACATTTGAATGATCATAGAATCATTCCATTGTTTCAGATGATCTGGAAGAGTATGAGGAAGGATAACTTTTTTTTCTTTTTTAAGATTTATTTATTTATACAAGCACTGGGTACAGTCAGAAGCGCAGAAGGGTGAGAGAATTCACCAAAACCAGAGTGGGGAACACAACAGGCAGACTGATGAAATACACTGCTGAGGGGAGCAGCGGGTGCAGCAGGAGCGGTCTGCAGGCCATGTGGGACTCTTGCCAGCGGCCGGGAATAGAACCGGCGCTGCAGAGGCTGCAGGCAGCTTCGCAGCTCAGCTGCCCAGAGCTCAACTGCTGCACCACCAGGGGAGGCTCCAAGGAAGAGGGATCTCTTAAAAGCTTAGACCAGATGGAAGAAGTTGCTTTAAAACTTACTGAAAAATATCAATGGTTTCAATTATAGGAGGAATATAGACAATATATACAGACAATTATAAACCAGAGACATCCTGTGAGGGAGGAGGACGGAGAATGATCAGAGGGAAGGGGTGAGGAAGGAGCACAGAGGACTGTGGCAATGGTGCACGGGTGCTTTGGTGAAGGAAATTCTATGGGGACTATACCTGAGGTGGGGGTAAGCAAATATTGTTTAAATATGAAGTGATGTTAAAAATAAATAAAAATAAATCAATAAATAAAACTTACTAAAAAATTCATTGTCAAGTCACCTGTTAAATGTATGCTACACAGACTTTCTAAAAAGGATAAGCATTGATTTTTGAGAGGATGAAGTATGTGTCATATATTTTTGTTTTATAGTAAGTTAAAGAAAATTCTGAGGTTTAGCTATTACAGTTCAAAATTTACAAGGAAAGAAAAAGAACAAGGAAAACCATTACCAGGTTAGTAAAAATCCTCATTAATGTTGCCTCCGCACATCAGAGTGAGAGGAATTACAAGAAAGCAAGTATGGGAGACACCCAGATATTATGTCCTAAACAAAGAGAGTAAAGTGCGGACAAACCCCTGGGAGTAAAAAGAAACTGGAGGGAAAAGAAGTGTTAGCAAACTATCAGGAGCTGCACTATGTCTACTCATGCTCCAGTGAGGAAGCTGATCCATTTCCAAGAACAACAACAAACCCACAACTAGGGTGAAAGGAGAACTGTCAAAAATCTACCCCATTTATTCACCCTATTATATATTGGGTTGTCACAAGATTGGCAATACTGTCTATGGGGTACAGACTCAGGAATGGGCATGGCACAAGTAGAGCAGTGATGTCTCTTGTGAATAGGATAGGGAGGAATTCACCAGGCTATTTCCCTGTTTAGAAGAACTCTCCTACAACATTACTCTTCCATCGACCTCTCATTAGTTCCATGCTTTCCAAGAAACCTTCTGATTACTAATTTGTTTTTTTAAGGAAATTGGTACTTGGAGATGAACAACCAGACCCAGAATAATGATCACAACTATATCAGCTGTAAAAAGAAATAATCCTCATTACAAATTAATAAATGCTTTGCTGCCTTATCAAGGCGAGTGCAGTATATATAAATCTCCAGCAGACAGAAACAGTTCTCTGCAGCAGCAAAGCTGAGGACCAGGCCATGGGCTATTAGATGACACGCTAAGACTTTGTACAGCACCCCCCTATCATCCCCTCTGCACCCTTTGCCTCAGATTGATTATCTTGAATATCAGCAGTGACCTTATGTCTACTTGTGATTTTATCATAATCCTGCATTTTATCATCAACAGCCACAAATTCCCTCTAGAAATTGGCACTTGGTAGAGCCTATTCTCCCCTATCTTCTATTATCAATAGACAATCTAATATTGGGCTGAGCATATGGCTAGCCAGGTAAAGATAATATTTACCAGCTTCAAGTTCTGGCCAATGAAATATGACTGGTAATGATATAAATTTCTGGATTGCGCTCTTAAAAGGAAAGTGCTCACTCTCCATTGTCACCACCACCCCTATTTTCCCTTTGAGGTTGACTGGATTGAAGAGGTGGGGAAGTGGGTTGATTTCTACCTTGTAAACAAGAGGAACACCCTAGGGAGTGGAAGGGCTCCTGACTCTGGACAACCTTTTTATTTCTTTGCCAAACCATTCTCTTCCTTTGACTGTTGCTCTGGATAAACCAATATCCCCATTAATATAAGACCTATAAACAATGAGTAAATGAAAAGACATGATTTCTAAACCAATTCTTTGGGCACCATAAGAAGTCTTCCCATGATGTAACAATAATCTATTTGCTTTACTCTCCCCAGTTAATTAATGAAAGCTAGATATACTTTACCTAATGTCCTGGCTGAATGAGTCATCAAGTATGAGTTTATCACCATAGTCATTAATGATATTACATGTACATAAAATAAACACTAAAAGCAAAACACAAATAGTTAGGACTAAAACATTCGTAAGCTCTCCAAAGGGAATCATTTTTCAGTTAACTTCTGACAAAATTTAATCTTAACCCACATTTTTTATTTCTGCCTCTGATAAGTAAGGTGAGGCAAAAGAATGGATGCAGAAATCAGTTTTCAAGTAAATGAGAAAAAATGAAGGTTTTAGACTTTCTGGAAGGGATAAGGAGAAGAGGGAAAGCGTTCTCCACAATTAGCACTTCCGGTAGAAGTCATGCAAAGCCAACAAGGCAGGAGCCATCACAGATACAATTATGGAAACAGCCCAGCCACACTGGGCTGTGGTGAACAGGGGCGGCACTGGGATGTGTGCCTGGCACAGGCATTACCATAGCTGTACAGGAAGCTCTGAGGAAACAGATGGGAATTGTGGTAGATTACGGAGAGGCCTGTGCACAAGTAGAAACACATTCACAGGGAAAGATCTTGGCCTTGTTGTTGATCATTCATATAATTTAGGGCCAGTTAATTTAATCACTCTGAGCCTCTAGGGTCCATCATTGAACAATAGAGTTTATAAAATACATGCCAAATTTGACTAACAACAATAAGCACTGGAAGTGCTTACTGACACCCAGGACTACTCCCTGTAAATTCTGGTTCTGTTATTTCTGGGATGGTGCCAAAGGGATTCGTAACATCAGACAGATTTGGGAATCTCAATAAAATGATACTGAAATGTTAGTTAACACTTCGTTGACTTGGTTTTAAGCTAATTTTTTGCACAAAAAAGAACTGACAGAGGTAGATGTTGGTTGTTTTATTTTATGTTTCCTTCGGATCATGGAAAGACCTTTGAAAAGCGCAGATTTGTGTGACTTCACATGAATTCTCAGACTATGCCCACAGATAAAATGTAAATCCTCAGGAGAGATGGTGAGGAATATGATATTCCCTTATTATTTTTTTTTTAAAAGGCTTTCTCTTTGGGCTTTCCCTTAGTATATGTAACTGACATTTCAGTTATTGCTCTAATAGCTATAGGGATTGGTATGCTCTAGAGATAGGGTAGGATTTTTTTCATGCTTTCTGACAGCTATTGAAAAATAGCATTTATACACTCAGTAACATTTATTGAGCATTTATTAAGTGTGGGCTATTTTACTAAGCCTCGTCTCGTCCTCAACTGAAAAATGAGGTTCCACAAGACTTGGGGAAGTTGCCCAAAGTCATTCAGTCTGTGAATGGTGAAGTTCAGATTCAAATTCAAGTTCATCTGATCCTCACATCTATAACCATTACATGACTGTTAGTCCCTTTCATGCTGTCAATGAAAACTCCCCTCTGAAAGTTCCCTACTACTTAAAAAAATGCATTTTAAAATCTAATTTTAAAAAATGGTTAACTTTATCATTGGGTACAATGGCAAAAGCAACAAAATAATTTTAAAATGTATAAATATGAATAGTATTGAGACAGGATTTTTCCTACCTTTTGTGGTGACTCCATTCTTTGTCCAGACAAATTATAAACATCAGGAGCCAAGAGTAAGCTAAAACTTCCTTTAATTCCAGACCATGCTATAATAATTGCCCATCTCCAATTATATGCATAACTGGAATGCATCAGAATAGGGCTCACTAATATGATAGTAAAAAACCTGTGGAGAAACATTTTTTAAATTCATCCCTTAGGAACTAATATTATTCATGGTTGAAATAGTGTAATAAACATTAAATTTCATATAAAAATTTTCAGGAAAGAGAAGACAACCTAGTGTATTGTAAGTTATTCAAACATTGGAACTTACAAAATCTGTCTAAATTTTGCATAAACTACTCAAATCTTGAAATATATACTAGAAATTCTATACAGACATAAGGAATTATCATTAACACCAGTGTGTACTATTTAGATTTGGGTAGTAAATTCCTTCAGGGAAACTTCTTCAAATAATATTGACTAACTCATGTATTCCCTGCAAGAATAAGACTGGATTCAGAAATTAGGTAGGGGAAGCCATGTAGGTCATGGACAAAATGTTAAATTATTGAAGATAAGGGGCCTCCCTGGTGGCGCAAGGGGTTGAGATGAAACCTATGAAGCAATCCACAGCCACTGCAACATGAGTTTGATCCCCGGCCAGGGAGGTGACCCACATGGCGCAGCAGACCTCTCCTGTCTCGCCTGCTGCTCCCCTCAGCAGTATATTTCAGTCATTCCACCTTGTTCTGTTCCCCACTCTGTCACTGGTGAATCCTCTCACCCCCCTACACCTCTGGTTTGTACCCCATAAATAAATAAATCTTAAGAAAAATTATTGAAGATACAGTAATAAACTTAGTTGAACCAAATTTCTCTTGAACTCCCATTAGAATCATACACTGTCACATAAATAATTCCAATTGCTGCCTTCTTTCTCTACAAGTCATTTTTCTCTAGAACTCTGTGCCAGATTTAGAATCTATCTTTAGGGATCTGTACCTAAAGAGTATAAGTACTGCCCTTCAAAGATTTTAGCAGAAATAACACTGAGGTATTCTCAGCTTCAAAAAATATATTGTATAACACTGCTTCAACTGGAAAGCTCACAAAACAACATAAAGAATTTCTATCATTGCATGAGTCATAGCAGGAATTTAGAAAACCTAAATAAGGGACCAGGAAAAAGACTAATTATAATAAAGTAAAAATCAAAATCAACAAGCAACTATAAACCAGAGACACACAATGGGGGGTGGAGGGAGGAGAAGGGACTAGGATCAAAACAAGGGTGGTGGGAATTGTATGGGGACTATAACCAAGATGAAAATGCATCCATTGTGCAAAAATGAAAAATGATGTAAAAAATATGTAAAATATAAAAAAAATTAAATTAAAAAAGAATTTCTATCATTGAGAAACATTAAATATTCAAATATTCAATTATCAATAATCCACATAATTAATGTCAGTGAACCTTCTGCCTTGCAGTTAAACCTTTTATAAAGTTATTCTTGCCAACCTTTCCAATCTGACTAAATAATCTTTGTCTGAAATAGAACAATTTACGTCATTTCCTCACATCTGACACAGAGAGGCTGTGTAGCAAAGATGGTGGAGCCAATCTACCTGGGTTCAAATCGGGGCTACTTTCAATAACAATATAAATTTAAGTAAATTATTCTATCTTCCCTAGACTGTTTCTTCATCTGTAAAATGGAGATGACAGTAGTAATAATTATATTTGCCTCAAAGGATAATTATGAAGATTCAATTAAATAAGGCACTGTTCATAAGGCTCGAAATGATGTTTAGAGTGTGGTCTGCACTTGCTACATATTAGCAATGATTATTGTGTCCAGGTGGTTGTTTACCTCATCCACTCTGAAATATTTTTTCAAAAAGTTCCTTTTTTTTTTCACATTTTATTTAAATTTTATTTTTTATATTCCCCATACAATTACAACCCCCTTATTTTGACTCCAATCCCTCCTTTCCCTGCCCCCCACCTCCCAGAGAGTGTCTCTGGTTCATAGTTGTTGATTTTTATATTTTCTTTCTTACAGTTATTCTTTTTCCTGGTCCCTTATTTAAGTTTTCTAGATTTCTGCTATGAGTGAGACCATCCGGTATTTTTCTTTTTCTTTCTGGCTTATTTCGCTGAACATGATCCCTTCTAGCTCCATCCATGCTCAGCATTCAAAAAAGATAAACACATGCAATTTCAACAATTTTCTTATGGAAAATCCCACTCACACTTTGAGGACCCCTGAGGATGACTCCCTCCATTAGAATCTTACTTCTAGTGAGAGGGAACCATAAGCACATTCACTAGCCTTTTGACCGTGGCCCTTAGTAGCCATTTGACCTTTGGCAAGGCACTTTGTCTCTTTTGATCATTTGCTTCATTTATAAAATAGAGATAATAATTCCTATCTCCTGGTGTTATTGTGAAGATAAAATGAGATAAAGTATGTGTAGTTGTGTTAAATAATATACAGAAAACCATCTACCTTTCTTTATACCCTGTGACCAATCTCAACTGCATATGCACTGCCATGGTGGAAAGAAATATAAATTGCAAATGAAATAACTTAATCTCCCTGAGAATGGGATCTGTATAATCATTGTATAAATTAAATTGATTTTTTTCCTCTGCCAACCCATCTGATGTTGTTTTGATTATCAGACTGAGAAGAACCCAGAGGGATAGTAGAATTTTCCCCTGTGCCCTAACAATGGTAACTTTTGTTCTTCCTCCAGGACTGTGGTACATCCTTCTGTTGAGAGTAGCATGAAATGCCTTCAGTGTCAGCAGAAGCAATGTTCCATGAGAACATCTTACAGAAAAAATCCCCTTGGTCAGGTCTGCCCTGAGTGGAAATGACAATACTTTCAGAGGCACTATCATGAATTCTCATGGAAGACACCACCTCCATGAAAGAACAGTGGTTTTAAAAAAAAAAAAAAAAAGCAGTGGAAATTGAGTTTAAATGTCAACTCTGCCCTTACATGTTGGAGTGACCCCATGGGTTTCATCTGGGAAATGATGCAATAACACCTACCTCACAGGGTTGTATTAATAACACCTATCTCATAGGGTTGTATTAATAACACTTACCTCATGGGATTTTATTAATATTAGTGGTATATAGCACATGGTAAATGTTTAATAAACAGCTCATAATAAATGATGATGAAAATCAACAAAAATGTTAGGCACCATTAATCTAGTCTTGTATCACTCAACCTTTAGTGAGCACATTGAAACAGTTCATGGCTCATAGCTGTGCAAATCTAATTCAGTAAATTGGGATGAGTGTGAAAAGCTAATATTTTGTAAAGTCATTCTTTAAAAAGGAGCATTACAGAGAAATTGCATTACCTGTCACATGGTTTAAACTAGATTAAAAAACTTTGGACTGTGTGAAGAGCAATTGTTTTAAGAAAACATCAAACAAATAATTATTTGAAAGGTTTTCCTGAGCAAGAGAATTGATGATTACAGATGTTTAACCAGAGGATGGAATCAGTTGCTTTTTCATTCTTTCTAAAGAATGAGTAACCAATTATGTATAGCCAAGAATAGCTTGTTTGTTAACACTTTTCTCACCTACTTTTTTTTTTTTTAAAAGATGTATTTATTTATTATTTATACAGGCACTGGGTATAGTCAGAAGCGCGGGAGGGTGAGAGAATTCACCAGAGCCAGAGCGGGGAGCAGAGCAGGCAGAAGGACCGAAGTACACTGCTGAGGGGAGCAGCGGGCGGCAGGAGAGGTCTGCGCGCCACGTGGGACCCTCCTCTGGTGGCCGGGGAGTAGCCGGGGATCTAACTGGCGCCGCAGAGGCCGCGGGCGGCTTCGCAACCCAGCGCTCAACCGCTGTGCCACCGGGGAGGCCCTCATCACCCACTTTCTTGAACGACTTACCTCCCCTTCCTCTTTTCCTTCTATAAAACTTCCCAACTTTATCTCTCCCTGTGGTCACATTTTAGGTTTTCTACTTGACTCCGTATATCCTGAATTGCAATTATTTGATCCCCAAAAATGTGCTTTGCCTTTACTGTCTCCTGAATTTTTAGGTTAACCGGTCCATGAATTTGCAATTCCATCAAACTCAGTTTAGGCTGATACTACTTACTCTGCCCTTTCTCGTTTTACAGATGAAATCTTGTAGAGTAAATGGACTTTCCCCTAGTCACACACCAAGCCATTGTCAGGATCTTGGCAACAACGCAAATTTCCTGACTCCACATCTATGCCTCTTTTTATAAAACTCACTGCTTCACAGTTCTAATTCTGGGCTGGAGTCCCAAGTTCAGTAAGCAAACTTTAAAATACAATTCTTACCTTACAAGATTCACTGTTGCAAACAAGATGATTAAGAAAACTATAGTGCGAAATCCTAAATACGTGTTGTCTCCACACCCTAATACAATGCCAAAGAAAGTATATATTAAATGTTGGTATATAGATGAAAATATCATTAGGAACCTAGAAAGAATAAAAGGAAATTACATTTTAAGTAGTGCATTTTCAAAATAGTTTTCTTTCCACATAAAGCATATATCTGCCATTCTTGTCTTAGCAGAGGTCCCAGGCTCCATCATTTTTAGCAATCAACTTTTTAAAATATTTATTGGAGCTAAAAATATTTGGATCTCAAAAGATGCAAGACATTTTTTGTGATTTGCATGAATGTCCCTTACCTTGAAAGTTTCTCCTGTTTATTTTCCCATCTACCAAATTCCTGAAACTTTTTTAAGGCAACTCTGATCCCATGTGTCTTCGTACTGATAATGTAATGATCCTATCTGTATTCACATTCTAATGACCCTGACTGATGGAAAGGTGCGGGCAACTAAAGCAACCATTTGTTTGCTTTTTGTTTGTTTGCTTTTTGTTTGTTTGTTTTTGTTTTATCAGTGAAGACACTGATAAAAATGTGAAAGACAGATAAAAACCTGGCTAAGTAGAGTGTTCCACCTAAATCAAAATTAAAAAATGGATCTGATAATAGGCCTCTGAAAAGTGTTATAAACATCAAGTTGAAGGCAACTGAAAATACTTATGGCCACCATGTCCATAATCCTAAAATCTTCTCCAAATTTTGGTGTGTCACCAGCAACCCCAGCCCTCCCTTCCCTACAGATGGGCACATGCCAGTAACTCTGAGGCACTACTGGCCCTGCCTTCTCAGTCTCCCAAATTTTGCCAAGATGTTCATTACCTTCCTCCTTTTGCTGTCAATCGAATTGAGTTCATATTATTGTAATGAGTGTTCCCCTAACAAATTCACATTGTGGTTACATGCATCAGGCTTGAGTCATGAGTGAAGTCTTCCCATTCTGTGCCAGTTAACACTGTAGAGATCCCCATAAAACAGCTGGCACAGCTGGCAGAGTCTCATGACTCAAATATCTTGACAAAACTAAATTTATTAACTTGTAATTAAAATGTTGGAGTCAATAAAATTCTTATAGGAAATACTGCTTTTTAAAAAATATTGGAGTCAATCCACAAAAAGATAAAAACTATCACTATCCCTGAGCATATATTGATTTCCACCAATTCATGGAAACCTGTAAAGGCTTATATTTGTAAAAAAAAAAAAAAAGTTCTGTTATGGATGGAGCAAGTATTGGCTGATCCTCCAACCTACTGCCTTCATTCCTCTTATTAACTGGCCTAAGAAAAATGAAATCTCTGCCTTAACTTCTAAAAATTTCATGTGCTATTGATTTAGATAGGCAGAAAGGAGAAACTTTAGCAAAGAAAATTCTTGAAAATTAACCCGGGAGAATATGATACTCATTTTAAAGAACCAGGGAATTATACAAATCACAGAGGCAGTATCAGTGAAAATTACTCAGGGTCATGATGGAATAAATATATGACAGAAAATAAGTTATTTAATAGACAGACATTACAGCATATACATAGATATTGTGATTAATATGGATAATTAAATATAAATTATATTAATTATTGGTTAATTAATAACAGTTTCATTGACTTATCAGGACAATTTAAGCATGAAATGTGTATGATATCTATAGCAAGTGCACAACGGGATGCTTACTTTTTAATTATGACCTCGTTCCTTGCTTTAAAACTTAAGGAATCTAAATTCAGTCCTACAGTGGCTAAAGTAACCATGCCCGACATTCCAAAAAACTCCACTGTGGAGGGGAAAAAAAAATGAATGAAGTTAGTTGCATTCAAATCTGCATGCTGATTTACTTTATCTTGAGTGGAGAAACTTGGTGGGAAACTTAAGAGCAGTGTTTCTGATTTCACTCATGGAGCATATAGAAAAACAAAACAACAGACAAAACTAAACCAAAACAAATCCTAGAGATGTAACTGCCAAATTGAGGCAACATGAGGGGGAAGAGGACCCTTTTGTCTACAGTAAAGTACTATGGGGTGTGTTGGTGGTGAGTGTGGTGTGATTACATCTATGGAGGCGTGAACCTATTCCCCTAAATCACAAACAGTATTGTAAACCAATGTTACTTCAATTAGGAAAAAAAAAAAAAGATGATATTTCTGGGAAAGGGAAAGGCCTAACCCTAATCTAGCAGGGGTCCACAAACCTTTTCTGTAAAGGATCAGATAGCAAATATTTGAGGACTAAACAGCTGTGTTGTGGTACACAACCAGCCATAGGTAATATACAAGTGGATGCTTGAGTAAATAAGAAGCTCTGAAATTTGAATTTCATGTGTTTTTTGCATTCTGCAAAATATTCTCCTTTTTGTTTTGTTTTTTTAAAACCACATTAAAGTGTAAAAACCATCCTTAGCTCCTGGGCTATACAAAAATAGACATATTTGGCCCACAGGCCATAGTTTGCTAGCTCTTACTGTAAACTGTTGAAGTTAAGGCTATGAAATAATAAGTAGAACAGCCTCTGCCCAGCACCTCAGGGATGCTGTGGTGTCTGTGCTGAAGGTGGTGGCCCAAGCTCAGTGTTTCTTTGGTGACAGCAGATGCTGAGGCTTGCTGTTTTTTTTTTTTTTTAACTAATATAGATTCCCCTAAAACTATAATTTTGGGGAGTCTAAACATATGTGTACATGATATATGAGGCAGGAGAATCAACTATGAAGAATGTTTGAGTGTCCTAAAAACCAACCGCCCTAGACTTCAGAACCTTCAAACAGTATATAAACATCAGACAGAAAGGAAGGGAAAGAAAGGATGTGCAAGGTAGAAACAGAAGCCCAGTGGGCACAATCAGTTGCTGTGGGAATGTGACCCACATGTTTGCATTATGGTCCCTGCATCTGTCAAATGGTTACAGAAGAATAATGTCTAACAGAGACAATGTAAGGATTCCATTAGATAACATGAAGTGTTTGCCACACTTTTAAAACAATAAATAAAAGATAATCATTACTACTGTGTATTTTTTTCTATGTTCACTTTACTGCTTAGTAAATTAATATTGTTTATTAATTTAAAGAGGATTTTATTACTCCCTTGGTTTTTCTAATCACCTAAGTTCTATTTAACTTTTTTTCCCTACTTATTTGATTTTAAAATAAATAACTAATGACAGTAAAACCATCATGCTGGGCACTGTAATGAGAGGGCAACTGTCTCTCAAAATCTTATATGAACTTTAAAGCTCATCATAGATTTTTTTTTTTAACCAGTAATGGTTACTCCTTAGAAACAACAAATGCTATGAGTAAACAACTAAATAACTTTATTTTAATTCTGATGACATTTTAGTATAATCCCAATAGCATAGGCATATATGGTGTGAATGCACACATTAACATAAGAATGTACATTTATATGTATTTTTTAAAGGTTGTTGGCATATACCAAAATGTATCAGTGGTTAAGTTTATCACATAAATTTATAGGTGATTTTTATCTTCTTTGACTTTTCAGAATGTTTTCGAAATTCTACAATGAATGTGGTTTTTTTTTAAGATTTATTTATTTATTTATACAAGCACTGGGTACAGTCAGAAGCACGGAAAAGTGAGAGAATTCACCAGAGCCAGAGTGGGGAACACAACAGGCAGACTGATGAAATACACTGCTGAGGGGAGCAGCGGGCGTGGCAGGAGAGGTCTGCGCGCCATGTGGGACCCTCGCCAGCCGCCAGGGATCAAACCCCGGGCTGCAGAGGCTGCGGGCAGCTTTGCAGACAGCTGCGCCACCAGGGGAGGCCCTGAATGTGTGATTTTTATAATTAGACAAAGGAGGTCTTTTAAAAATTACAAACACTTTCATATTGTATGGTATTTAAAATGTTCTGGAAAGGGAGAAAAAGCAAAGAAAGTAATTGTCATTAGAATAAGCCCAAGTAGTTAATTAAAAAAAAAAAAAAGAGTTGTAAAAACTTTCTGACTCAACGACAAGAAACCATCACAGAAAACTGATGCTGGAAACCAGTGACTCTCCATCTACCTCTGTCTCTCTCTCTGGTTTAGAAAAAGTGAAGGTCCTGCTGATAGGAGAATCAAAGGGATTTTATTTCCTAAAAAACACAGGATTCAGAAATGGATGTTTCTGAATATAATAAGATGACACCTGAGGCTTTTGGCATTTATAGCTTAAGCTTGTTAAGAGAAGAGAGAGCAGAGCAATCAGCCCAGGCACAGGCAAAAAGGGGTATCATTGTTGGTGAGTTTTTCAAAAAAATAAAGTGGACTAAAAATCATCTGCTTTTTATTATCTCCATTCTCCAGAAATTCTGAACAATCTCACCGGACAAAATGCTTCTTCTGTTTGCATAGACCCCCTCCCACCACTCCTTCGGGTATACCTCTGGTCTGGATTGTTATATAACCTACCATCTTTCATGAATTACAGACTGACTCTCTTAAAGGGGCTTTTGTACACTAAATTTAGACTCTCTTCCATGGGTTGATATATGAATATTTCCAGCTGCCCTACCTGTCAACCAATGATTTTCTGGAAGCACTGCATTCTTTGTGTAGCAAAGTCTATGCAATTTTTGATTATTTTATCTCAATATAAGGAATGAAAAGGCTGATATAAGAGATTTCTAGAAGTCCAGGTTTCTTGAATTTAACACAATATAGACAAAAACAGAAACTACTATATATTTCAAAGAGGTAAGTCTCTAACACTCCCTGGACTTAAGCTGGCTGACAGTATGGTCATTTGTGAAAAACAAAATCAGATATCAAGGTGTAGAAATGTAACATTAGAGGATATATAAATGAGCATTTTATCTATGGCTTTCTGGTAATGGAACTTCTCCTATAACTATGTCTATTACTGACTTTTACTGTCAGGAACTTGTTAAGTATAAGAGTAAAGGTCTCCCCAAAGTTGTTTCTTAATTCTGGAAGCAGAGAACAATGCAGTGGAAGCAGGAGGAGTATTAGTGTCCTGAGACTACTGTAACATGGTACACTCTAAGTGTCTTAAACAATGAGACTGTAAATTACAGTCTCATAATTCTGGAGGTTAAAGGTCCAAGATAAAGGCTTTGGTTACTTCCTAGATCAGTGAGGGAGAACCTACTCCAGGCCCTCAAGCACTAATTGGAAGCCCTTCTAGCATTTTATTAATAGAAGGAAGTGGAAAGGGAACCAACATTTATTAGCTGCACTCCCTTGAACCCAGTGTATGTTGGTAATTGTTTAAAAGCAGCTCTCTGAGGATGAAAAAAATAGAAAGCCCTGGTTTTTAGTGTCTGCCAATTTCCATGGTGCAAATATGCCCTCTATGGTAAATTTCAAGTTACCAACATGAGTCTCTGTAGCACAGATTTGGGGAGTGCACAGATGTGCACTATCAGCTCATTAGTGTTTTCAATACCTCTGCCAATTAGACATTATTTTATATATATATCACTTTATAGATGAGAAAACTATCTTTAATATTAAGTAACATGCCACAGTCACCTAACTAACTGTGAAGACGAGATTTGAACTCAAGTCTGCCTATCTCCAAAACTCTTCAAGGACCAGTATCAGTTTATTCAGCCAACATGTGTTAAATTACTTTTGGACATATGGTAAGCACAGAGCTTGGCAGGGGAAACACAGAAAAGAGAATAAATCGTAAGATGAATAAGAGATGCTCCATTTTGAAGAATCTCATGGGCTAATGAGAAATGGAAATACTAGATTTAAATTTTTTTTTAGATATTTAGGGCATGCATAAAAGGTCCACGGGTAGAGGAAAAAAATGACAAAAGTTGAATGATAGTGGCCATTGAGTGACCGTTTTCTGTAATTTTACTTATTCAGGTAAGGGAGAAATACACAGGAAGGCATGTTTCTGTAAAGGAAGTAGTCCTTTTAGGTAACTGGAGGTGAAGGGAGCAGTAAATACCCTCCTGATACCTGAGGTCTCTCATGGATGCAAGTTGCTCCACTGTGTGAGGTAAGAGCAGATTTTGAGTTTCACCATAGTTCCATGGCTCTAGGAAATTGGTTACTTCAGGCAGGCCAGTAAAAACTTGGATTCTCAATCTCACTGAACTAAACTAGCAAATGATTACTGATGGCAGGGCACTCTGACTCCTGAATTATTCCACTCCCCTGCTTCTCTTCTACATATAGGTCTACCTGATCTCATCCCCTCCTTCCTGCCTCCCAGCCTTAGTTATGCTTCTACAATCCCTTCAATTTTGTAGTCATTCAATTAAAAGCTGTTTAAGTGGAAAAGGCCACAGAAGCATCTCTCCCAGCTTCCTCATTTTAGAGATGGGTTGCTAAGTGTCAGAACAGGAATTAGCTCAGTGTTGATTCCTTCTCCAGGAGAATGCCTGTGACTAAATGTAAGGTCAAAAAATGAGAGAGCAGTCACATGGGGGTAGGGGAGAGAGAAGGAGAATACAATTACAATTAAGGGGATGTTAAGAGAGACCATAAAAGATCTAGAAGTGGCAAAAGGATGAGACAGCAAAGAGCATGGAGGGAACACAGCAATGGCGAAGAAGTCCGGAAGAAGAACATGGATTCAAGATCAAGAGAAAATAGCAATGTATAAAGTTCATTTTGAGGACAGTGTTTTTTAAATTGGTTTCAGCCTTACCTAAGTAGAAAGTCATGTACACCATTGAAATGCAAAGAACGATGTTTGTCAGCGTATTGCTAAAAAGGTCAGTCAATATAAACTGAATGATTCTTGCACACCAGTATCCACACGTTATGCTTCCTAAAATGTCCAAACTGAGACCCATGATTATGTGAAACTCTAGAAAAGAAAATAAGGGAGAGGGGGAGGTAAACTATAATTTTTTTTCCCTTCATTGATGGCATTTAGGTCTCATGCACTTTGGTTTGTGCTTGAGATTTGGTGTGGGGAACTTGTTTAGCAGATGGGAGTTTACCAGGAAAATGTAGCAAAAGAGGTTCAAAGGATATACTTTTCTTATTGTCTGCAGCTTGAGGTTTGCTTATCTAGGGCAGCAAACTCAAATGTTGCCCTAAATGCATGAATTTGAAAATCCTGTTAAAAACCAGACAGTGAATAGCCAACCAAAAGATTTCCACTCAATTTTTTTTACAAACTATGCCAGGGCCAAACAAACCATGTCCCTAGTCCCACCAACCTGCAGTCCATTTGTGACCCCTATGCCTAGCCCACAGGGCATGTGAGACATGGAGAATGGAAATTTTTCCATAGTCATAATGACAGGGGGACAATAGTGGCAGTTGGTGGGCAAGTATGAGGCAATGTCATGGGTAGTCCTAAACAACAAAAATTGCCACCCCAAATGACTATAGCTCTGCCACTGAGAAGCACGCTAAACTCCTCTTTATCATGAACATTTCCTTCCCCTTTTAGCACTTTTCTCCTCCCACAATCATCACATAAACATATCCAGAGGATATGTTTCTTTTTTTATTCTTTATGCTATGGATTTGCCCCCTTCTCTAAATCTGCAGCTCTAGCAAAGCAGCTTGCTCTGTACCCCAATAAATTTTAACCACATGTATTTATATCTTCACGTTCTAAAACCTGAACCATTCTGCTTTCACCTTCAAGCTCAAATGCAGGATGAAACCAATTCTTAATATTCACTTATTGTGCCCCAGGTTGATCCAGGAAAAAAAGATCTGAGCCAGATGACACAATTGTGTGTGTGTCTTTTCACATGCATGCACCTGCATACGTGCCTACTGTGGGATAAGAATATATTATTTCTTTAACATCCTTCCCCCTAACATCCAAGATAATACAAAAACAGTAATTATTTTCTTGTTACCTGGAGACTATTTTTTTAATTGGTCCAAAAGCAAAGTATAGGGAGAGCAGTAAAGTTCAAACATCTTGAATATATTTTAACTTCAGTGTGAACTGAAATGTACCATATAAGAATGATTTTATAACGTATATAGACCCCCCAAAAATGCTCCTACCCTTGAATGTAGAACTGCTAACTAAGTTAGCCCGAAAATTTCCAAAAAAAATGGTTGTGAAACCACAAATGACCATCGATTCTCCTCTAATGATATCAGTGTACAATTTGGAAATGCCTGGAAAAGGAAATAGAAAATAAATTTTAATACGATACATGAAAATGATGCTCTTGCACAGGAAACATAAGAATAGAAGTGAAGAAGTATGTAGGTGAGAAAAGAAAGAAATCATGTGTCTGCAAACAGGAGCATGGCCATAACATTCTTTAAAGTATCCACAGTGTCAAACCAGGCTTAAGCTCCAGAATAAAGCAAAGCACTTCTTAGGACACTACATGTAACTTAAATAAGCATAAATCATTATATTCCAAAAGAATCACATTTTATGAATAAGTTAAAATAATGATCCAGAAATCTGACCCCTACATATATGTATGTATGTATATATGTAAATTTAAGTCAGTTTGTACATGAATTTAAGTCAGTTTGTACAACAATTTGTACATGAATGTTAATGGCAGCATTATAATGGTCAGAAATAGAAATAACCCATAGTCCATCTGCTGATGAATGGATTAACATAAGGGCATAATGGATTATTAATCAGCCACAGAAATTTGATTTATATGGAATAGGTAAATTTACATGAGTAGGCATATCCATAGACAGAATATATATTATGGATCACCAGGGATTTAGGGGATGAGGGAGGGAGGTAGGACTGCTAATGAGACATCTTTGGAAGATGATGAAAATGTTCAAAAATTAAATGGCAACGATGGCTTCATCACTCTGTAAAGACCACTTAATTGTGAATTTTCATGGTATGTGGATTTAAAGGGTGAATTTTATGGTATGTGGATCATATCTCAACAAAGCTATTATTACAAATGAAGTGCAAAATCATATTGGCACTTAACATTCACTTTAAGTTTAATGGACAATAGAAATAACTTAATTGCCTAGTGATATACAACTTATGAGTAGGATGATGGGGAAATGGTACCCGACTTTCCAGTATCCATTATCTGTTTCTCTTGATAACAAAAATTGTTTTATTCAAGGCAATAATGTGTCTGACTACCATTTTTCAAATCAATCAATGCTCCATGTCCAAGAAAAACAGCACAAACTCCAATTCTACTGGATATACAATTCATGCAAGATAAAAAAATAATCAAAATAAAATAATTTATCCTCATATCTTCAAAATAAGAGAGAGGTAAATCTTACATACCAATGTGTTTCAGTGAATTCACAGAATAAATAGGATCTGTAATGGAAAGGGTCATGCTAAAGAGTAGGCAAGCCTGTAAATTCCATGAGTCTGTATTGTATTTCAGAACTACATATCCAATTATGAGGAAGGCTGTGGCAAAGCTAATTAATCCTGTTAACAGGACCTGTGAAACCAATTCATAACACAGTATTAGATTTAATGTTTGAAGATGGCATGACTGAATTTACTTATGTCCTAAGAATCACATATTAGTTATATGTATTTTATACAATTACTCTGGAAGATAACTTTAGTTTACCTGCCTCAAAAGAAACCATCCCTTCTAAACAAATGAGATTGCTTAATGATTATTAAGAGGCCAATTGAACAATCTTTCTTGTTGCTATTCCAGCTTAATAATTCTCAACATCAAAATGTCCTTAAAACTGATTGCAAATTTCCCCTGCTTCTGTATAAAACATTTCCTGATTTCTTCAGTATTGATCTAAAAGGCTACAGGTAGAAAGAGAGGAAAAACAAAGCGGGGAAGCGTATGTCAGTTGCTTGGGATGATAATGTAAGCATTAAAAATAAACCTATTTGGGATGAGGCAAAAAGAGTAGAGGAAAATGCAAAACTTAAAATGCATAAAATGCAAAAAGCTAAAAATCAATCAATCTCTAACCCAAGTTGTTACAAAAAGAACAGAATAAAACCAGAGAAAGTAAAATGTTCTTTGAAAGAAAAAATAATCTGACAAGCATGATTAAATAATTAAAAAGAGAGCAAAGGCACAGACAAAAAAGTTCAATAGTTTGAACAATAGTTTGAACAAAAGTTCAAAGTTAAAATAGAACAATCTAGATACAATTAAGATGAAGTCAGACATGGGATTAGAATCTAGGTTTCTGCTATTAATCAGCCTGTGTTTGACCTATTAGCTACAGTCTGCTTCTATGTCAAATGGACATGATAGTTACTCAGTGCCTACTCACAGCAGTCACTCAGCAAATATTCATTTCTTCTCCCTCCTTTCAACTCTATCTAACTAGTGATTCTGCAGAATGATGAGGGTAAAACAACTGAAAATTTGAGTTTGTGAATTTATCTACTTTATATAGCCATTTTCTGTCAACATGGATAAGCAAGAAAGAACTGAACAAAATATATTTTAAAATATGTTCTTACCTGCCAAAGCACATTCTTGAGCATATGAAAGTCCACATCTAAAGCAGCCATAAATATAATTAAAGGTGCAAAATAACAAAAAAGTGAATAACTTGGTGTTCTCAAAAGAGGGTAAACTATTTTGTGCACCTGAAACAAAAAAGGCAAGCAAAAAACTAGTTTACTATCATTTTGGAGTATTAGAAGTGAGACTGACGCTATCCCAATCAACATAAATTTTAGAATGTTTCAATTTGTAACTAACAAGAAATAGTTGCAAGGCCAGTCCTGGGGAACTTGTAGATTTTTGACCTAACTGTCCAGATGAGTTTTATGTATGGTTCTATTCATCAGAGAATCGATGAGTTTAGGCTACACGAACATCATTTATGGTAAATAACCAATGCTTTCAAAAGTGGTATACAGTCCTATCATTGGTGACCCCTGAGGCAATTTTAGGTAGTTCAGAGATAAGTAGTTTTTATTTGATTGTTAGATATTTATTCTAATTTCCACTAAGAGGGAACAAAGAAATTTGCATAGGTACTTGTGGTTTCACACACATTTATTTAGGATTTAAAATTCCTTCAATGAGTCAAGTAGAAAAAAATAATACAGAGATAATAGTACCATTTGCATATATATGACATAAATCATAAAGGTTGGACACAGATGAATAGAAAACACAGCAATAATGATTGAAATATGGAAATATTTTCTCCTAAACCAGTTTTGGCTCAGTTAATGCATGAATCTTTATTATTTAATTTTGGATGCAAGTCTCCTCATCTGTAAAATGGGGATAGAGTACCTATTTCCATTGGGTTACTATGTAGGTGAATAAATTAACACAAGTTAGTGAGTTAATAAATTAATAAATACAAAGCACTTAAGAGAGTGTAAATGCTCAAAAAATGTCAGCTAACAATAATGGTGGTGTTTCAGAAGACTAACAAGAGGTTTTTCACAATCCTAGATTGGTACAAGCATTGTCTCCTCTTTCAAAAAATAAAGGAATGCCCGGAGATGATCTGCTATTATTTACATTGCTCTGCATTTGAAATCAAATTAATAAGTTAGTAAGCTAATGAATTTTTTCTATATTATATGGTACATATAATCTGCATTTAATCCAGCCATTAGAAAAGAGTTATCATGCCTCATCATGACCACATACTGCCTTTTGTAACTAGTTTTCACATGTGTTGAAGACAATAACGCTCAAGAAGCCAATATTATATACAGAGGAAGGAAACAACAGCAAATCTTCAAAGCCAGGTGATGAAGAACACAAGAAGACAATTAAATTTTTCTCATTTCCAAACTCATACTTTAATTTATGCTTCTCTAATTTACTTCTCTTTGATTGCATAGCTTTTCATTTTCAAAAATTTTAATATCAGATAAAATGTTTTCATTAGCCACTCACATTTTTAAAAAATTTTCATACATTAGGGGTGAGGGAAGAAGCAGATCTGGTTTTTTTTTTTGTCTTTGTTCTTGAATTAATTCTCTAATTTCTTGTACATACATTACCTCAACTGAATTGTAGGCCAGTTGTCCTATGAAATATCCTAATAGAGAAAGAATTATCAAGACAATGACATCAGAACTCTTTAAACATGATCTCAGAAATCCTAAAAAAAAAAAAAATACATCTGTATTATTTAGACATAATACATGGTTTCAAAATAATTCCATATTCCTTCCTCTCTTTAGTTATTCAATTTTAAACTTCCTCTGAATGTCCTACCATTATGAATAATTAATAGCTATTATGAATGCTCTCACTTTAGTACAGGATGCATATAATAAGGAATCTCTCACGGATGAATGTGGAACAACCAAATTTCAAATTTCCAACAATTCCAAATTCCAATTTCCAACAACCTACCCCAGGCATGGGTATCTGACCTATGGATCTGATAGAGAAATTATGAAAAGTCAAACTTTATATCTACTCACCTTTTATTAATAATTATTCTTCCTAAGCTATAGCCACATAATCATTTTCTTAAAATTCAGAAGTACTTTTAACTGAGCTCCAACCATAGGGAAAACTGCCTTCACCGGATAAGTAACAAAACATCTTATTCTTTGTCTACATGCATTTTCTGGCCTTAAAATTAACTATTCTGGGCCTCCCAGTGGCACAGGGGTTAGGACGCAACCTGTGAATTTGTCCACAACCTCTGCTGCATGAGTTCGATCCCCGGCCGGCCAGGGAGCTACCCACATGGCACAGCAGACCTCTCCAGACCCGCTTGCTGCTCCCCTCAGCAGTGTATTTCAGTCAGTCTGCTCCCCACTCTGTCTCTGGTGAATCCTCTCACCCCCCACACCTCTGGCCTGTACCCCAGCTCTTGTATGCATAAATAAATAAATCTTTAGAAAAAAAATTAACTATTCTGTCCACAGCTACTCAGTTCATTTTGTCTATAGGCAATAGTCTTATATAACCCAATTAACTGATACCTAGGGCAAGAGTTACTGGAATCCCAGTTTTTGCATTCCTTGTCTATGTCAATCCCATAGTAAATATTGAATACTTCTTGTGTAAGGATAGATAATGTTTTTCAAACTATTTCTGCAGTTTCCCTTTGCCACTGCAGTATTTGTCTCTCTGTAATTATAAATGACCAAGAGCTAATGAATTCACCAACACTTCATTTACCAAGGGACCCAGGTCATCAGTATTTTAAAATCAAAAAAGCAATTTCACTCCCTGATACAATGAGCAAAATTGAAGAAGTTTTTTATGTGTTTTTACTTCATTGTTAATCTCTTTATAGTCTTCCTACTTCCAGAAAGGATTTTAAAGCTGTTGACATTTTTCCCAGATAATTTTTTTTTTAAAGATTTATTTATCCATACAAGCACCGGGTACAGTCAGAAGCGCAGGCGGGTGAGAGAACCCACCAGAGTCAGAGCAGAGAGCAGAGCAGGCAGACTGACAAAGCACACTGCTGAGGGGAGCAGCGGGCGGCAGGAGAGGTCTGTCACGCCTTGTGGGACCCTCCCCCAGTGGCCGGAAAAAAACGAACCGGCGCCGCAGAGGCTGCGGGCAGCTTCAAAGCCCAGCGCTCAACCGCTGCGCCACCGAGGAGGCCCCAAATAAATTTTAAAGGCGACTAGAAGCTGCTCTAATCACTAGTATGGAATTGTGGAATAAACACCCGCCTTTTCTTAATATGGTATTTTCTCTGCATGAATATCCTTCATGAATACCTGTCGAATTCTTTATCATTAAGACACCCTTATTTGTGAAACCCTTAATAACTCCCCTCTAGGGAGAGGGCTAGATAGTACATCTTCCCTAAAGATAGTCATAATAGAACAGACAAAATTGATGACACCAAATTTCCAACTTGTGAACCACATGGCTAGGTTCTATTTGCCCCACCTGGCTTCCCCTCATTCCAGATATTTGGGTCAGGTTAGGCAATAGAAAGCTCTCCCTCCTCTTTATCATCAGAGACTCGACCTGTGCACTTAGTCACTATGCTACATTGTAATTATTTGTTTGCCTGCCTTTCCTATGCAAGGGTTCCTTGAAGTTAGGGACTGTCATTTATTCCTATGCCTACCATCTGCTATACTCAGCCAATATCACTGAATGAGAGAAGAGATAGTTGATGCTACTTTTTAATTAAATGACACTATACTGACTGCATTCACTCAAATCTTATTTCATGGACCCCTTACATTTGATGTAGTTATGAGCACTTTCTGTGCTGAAGAAGGTTTGGAGCGCAAAGGAAAGATGAGATTTAAAAGCAATCACTTACCTCCCAAAACAATAATGAAACAGACAAGCAATGGGAAATGGCTCCTTAAAATAGTATAGTCAGCTGACCGTCCGCAGAGTAAGTCAGGTTGGTTCCCTTCTGTTGGAACCAAGGTAGAAGTGTTCACTTTTGCCATTGATTTTTCAGTTCTAAAGTAATGAATTTCTATGTGAGTTTTAATTGACATTTTCACTACTATAGACTAACTTGTTAATATATAAAAAAAAAAAAATGTGACCCACCAAGACCCAATGCATCCACATTCTATCAAAGGGTACAAAGATTCTAAGTACCATGTGATCTCAGCACATTTCTTCTTGCCCACCAGGCCCACATTAACACTTCATTCCACCTCTGGCTCAAAGATCATTTTATAGGAATATTAACAGCAATGTTAGTGTTTCTCCCCCATACAGTTCTGTGTGTTTGGTCACAGGATTGTATTAATTTGTGCATTTCCCATTGTATGATATGATAATGCATTTGCCTTCCCCAATGGATAGCGAGTTTCTCAAGGACCAGGACTGAATATTACTTTTCCTTCACAGACTACACACACATTATGTGAAACACAATAGGCCAGGCTCTCCCTAAGTATTTGATTCAACTGAACTTGTTGAGGGGGAACACTTTATCATGGTAAAACGACTAGCAAATAGAAAATGAGGTCAAAGTTGAGTTGCAGCAGTTATGGTTTGGAATGAGGAGGGTGTTTAATACCCTAAAAACAAAGGAAAATACTAAATTTGAGGCTTGGCCATATGACACCTGAGTAACTTAGAAAAAGTCCTCCCCCACTCCACAACAGGGCATATGACTTTGCACATGATTAAGAGATTGGATTGCAGCCCCCAAAACCCTCTTAGTTGGCTCCCTTGTGTAGCCTGCACAAATCTGTGTGGTGGTCCTGAGACAGATATATTGTTTTATTTTCCCTTGCAGCTAGCCTTAACCAAAAACATTCCTAGAGGTTCCTGGAAGTATCCCCAATATCTAGAGTTCATTTTTGGTTTTTTGTTTTGCTTTTATTTTATCTCTAAGTCACAATGATTCTAGCAGGAAGCAGAAAGAGGCCCCAAAACAGATACTAGATGCTGCATCTTCAAACTACTTCACCTGTCTCACAAGTAGCCCTTCAGCTCCTTGATATCTTCAAATCCTGCTGTCTGCACTTAACAGCTACACTCTCAGGTCAGGTTTCTCCCCAAACTATAAAGACCAGAGGTAACTTCTTCCAAGTCTAAGCTGGTTCAAAGTTGAGATCAAGATGGAGGCTCATGAAAATCACAAAGAACAGTACTCAGCCCTGTGTGTCTGTTTGCCAGAGACAGTACTGCCAACTGATATCACACTGAAAGCCATTTCCATGCCTAGTTCCCATTGGTTTCTTGTCAACTTACTTTCATTCTGATTGGCTACATGTATTATCCCCACCCCCAATCCAGAAGAAGCTAAGTGATGCAGTTCCAGAGAATCCTGCATTTCTTAAAGCCCAAGTACTGTCTACATCCATAACCGTTTTTAACTGATTTTTGTGTGTGTGTGCCTGACATGATAGCTAAAATGGTCACTGATCACATGGACAGAGCAACTGATAACTCTTTCTTTCCTGAACTCTTAACAGATGCTCTTTCTTTCCTGTTCTTCTTCAACACTGCCTTGTCACCCTCCAACATTTTCCTTTATCTTTTTCCATTTTCCCTCTTTCTAACTCTTCTTCCTTCTTAATGAGAGTCTCCTCCCACGTTCCTCCTTAACTCCTATCATTGGCTTTTGGTCCTAAGTTTGAAGAAACAGTATCATCCATTTTCATGAAAGGACAAATGATTCCTAAATTCTGTGATAATTTATATATTGTTGCCTAATCACTAAAAACAAATACAGTATCAATATAAACATAGGAACATAATTAATCCATTTATAATGTATCTTCAAGGAACTTACTTCGTCATAATAAAATTTTACACTATCATTCCTATGCCACTCTAATCAAATCCTCTTCTCCTGGGCACCAAGGATACCACTACAGCAGGGAGACTGCTAATTCTATCATCAGTCTTCTCCATTGCTATGTATTAAGGAAACTTTGACAAATGAAAGCCCTTATTCCTCCTTAGGCTAAACAGTTTCAGTCAACAGTTCTATGTCGACCTCTGACTACAATCATCACCTTTGGCACCCAGAACCATTCCTCACAAAATTTGCTTTACAACATTTTATTATCTGGTTTGGATCTTCTAAGATAGTGGGTCCATTCCTCCCAAGGACATTTTTTTTAAGTTGCCTTATTTACAGGCTGTCTCCTGAGACCCATTGCCTACTTTTTCCTTTCCTCCCCTTACTTAACTCTTCTAGTTACTAACTTCACTCCTCTTCATCCCATTTTTACCTTCACCTTATCTACTTTATCACCTTGATTTCTCTCCTCAACTGTACCACATCAACTCACTTTGAATAGTGTCCTTCCAGATTCTATCTAGTTCCTATCCTACTGCAGTTCCCTCAGTCTCACCTGGCTCACCAAGACCCCACACATATGACTCATGCAGTTTTACATATCAAAACTCATATTCTCCATGGCTTTTAGAAAAATTGTCATATAAGAAAACACAGACAAAATTCAGAGTCCACTCTATTCTGTGAGCTAGAAGTAGCACATAACTAAAATACAGAGATGATCAAATTTCTCTATGTTAGAATCTTTCCCACAGACCTTTAAAAAAGGTAATAATAAATTTATATTTCACTATCTTTGGTAGAGCCAGCTGAATAGATTTTATAGTTGAGAGCTGAGAAATTGCGAGCTGAGAGTCTACCCAGTGTATTTTCTCACAACCCCATTTTCTGATAACACAGTATCTAACTGAGAAAGGTATATAACACAGGTTGATTCACTCAGAATTTCTTATTCCTCCAACACTATGACCAGTTCAGATATACACAAACAGGACTTAGACAAGACCAATCAGACAGTTCCTTGGCTTGATACATATACCATTATTGGGAGAGAGCTGATCTTTGTCCATTTGGCTTAGCTGTGATAATGATTGCCTGAAGCAGTCAAAAGTCAACTTCCCAGCTGCACTAAGAAAGCTTTTCTACTTTATGTCTGAAATGTTCATGACGTACCACCTTAGATCTCGCTGAGGTTTTAACAAAGGATCTAACGATCTGACCTGAGATTTTATCTTTTCTCAGAAGCCATTTTCTTTTCTGAGTTTGAAAATGTATTGCTATCCAGAATGGCTGGGAATGAAAAAAAAAATTAATTTCCAAGCTCAGAAATTACTGGCTCCCTTATATTTCACTTAAATATATTTGAAAACTGAATTTTTCCTGTTCAGCCTATCTCTCTCCTTTCAAGGTTTAATAGAAAGAGTTGAACACTGGAAAACTTCTTAGCAGGATTACTGGGTTTATTACTTAGACAAGTTAGCCAAATTTACCACCATCAAATAACAAGGATCATTTTCCTCCAGTTTCTAAAAACATTTTCCTCTCTTTCCTATAAACCCCTACTCAGTGGCCTTATAGGGGCCCTTAAAGATCTTGCTAATCTCTAGGCCCTTCCAGCTTGTTTGCCAACCAGCACCAAAAAAAGCAATGCCACATATTTTCTGAGCTTCAGGTTCAAAAATTTATATATTATGTATTGCTGCATAATAGACAGACACAAACTTAAGCAGCTTAAAACAACAACAATCATATATTTACCTCAAATCTACAATTTTGACAAAACTCAACAGAGAAGGCTCATCTCTGTTCCACACAGCATAGTCGGCAGCAAGTGAACAGGTGGATCCACTTCCAACATGGCCGCTCATATGGTCAGCAGGTTGGGTTGATTGCAGGATAGAGTTCAGCTAGGGTTATGGGCTTCAGTTCCAGTCCATATAGGGTCTCTCCACAGGCTGGTTTCTAATGGTAAATATCTCAAGAGAACTAGGCGGAACTCTTACAATCTTTTATGATTTCTGGAAATCATGTAGTATTACTTTCACTGTAGTCATAGGACTGCCCAGATTAAAGAAGGGAGAATAGAGACACCTCACCCCTGCTCCACCATCATGTGAAGAATGTCATGACCAAATTGTGAGAAAAGTGTGTGGGATGGGAGATGAGCTAGTCTTAGAAAATACAATATATCACATATTAGATCAAGCCTTGGGGTGCATTGTCACACCTTTACAATTTGTGCCATTGTGTTGACCTAAGCTGCTTTAGCTTAGAATAGAGCAATAGTCTCAAAGGCCAATAGTCTCATAGTTGCAGAGGATAGTAGTGACTCCTAACAAAATTTCCATCCTACATGACAAAACGATAAAAATAAAAAAGTCTATAACAAAGCTTAATTTATTCACCTTAAAGGGTAGAGCCTTCTACTGAAATTGTATTTGTCCTTCTTTTCAGGAGTTAAAAATGTCTTTTCTTTAAAAAAATTTTTTCTTTTATTAAATGATAGTGATAGTAAATAGTAGTGATATTTTTTATTGAAGTAACATTGGTTTTAAATATTATATAGGTTTCAAGTGTACAGACTTCTGTATCAATATCTGCATATACAACATTATTCTTATCACCAAAAGTCTAGTTTCCTCCCATCTCCATGCAGTTGACATCTTTTACCCAAGTAGACTATTAGCAGAAACTAATCATTAGCAGGACCACATGCCTGGAAAGTAGTTTCACATTCAAGATCAAGGCTCAGGAATTTTAAGGTGGGAACAACAAAAATGGTGCATGCCCTTTCCCAAATTATTGCAGTGCTTAAAGATAAAGGAATTCTCACTATATACAATATTAAGAGAATGAAGGAAATACGGGTCTCCTTTGTACCACTCCATTAACACCCACTGGGTCTACCAGTGAGAAGAGGAAGAATTATTGCGTTGTTCTTTTGCTTAAGGCAACTGAAATTGAATTGCTCACACACAAAAAAATCTCAAAACTTTAAAATTTGTGAAACAGATGTAAAACAGTGTTACCTCAAAACCAAAGGTGGAAAAATATCAACTAATAAGGAAATACTGATTGCTTGTTTCTTTTCCTTCCTCTCTACAACAGAAAAGTATCTTTCAGGGTGGGAGAAAGAAGAGCAAGTCAACCAACAACAAATCAATGTTCTTGGGCTTTGGTTCTTTTTTTTTTTTTTTTTTTACATTTCCTTTTCTATCAAACTTTTCTAGGAATTTACAGGTAGTAGAAGGTTTGGGGGCTTAATTAATAACAAGTAACATTAGAACAAACAACATTCTAAATCACTAATGAGAAACTAACACTTATATTCAAAATCAAAAAAAATAGAATAGACAGAAAAATTACACAGGGTCCAGTGACACTATTTGTATTGCCAAACTGACTGAATAGGGGAAAGCTAAAGTTTTTTTTTTTTTTAATTTAAAGATAGAAGGAAGTTAAAGACAAAGAAATAAGAAAGTTTTCTAACTATATACCATCTTACAGGTGAATTTTGATTTGGACATAAACAGCATTATAGAAGCAGAGAACTCTGATCCAAACCATTCTTAATATTTCCTGCCTCTGGATGTCATTCCATCACTCTCCATCTTAGAAAGGGAGAACAAATCATCCTCTGGAAATATGCCTTTTCTTACAGAATCCCTCAACTGAATGGCAATTTCCTGCCTCAGTTACACAAACTTTATTAGATCTTCTAAATAGATTTTAGAGCTTCCAGACAGATTTGGGATTCACCCCAAAGTACCCTAAGGAAGGAGCACATGGAACTCACATGGTATGCATTTGAGGGAGCAGAAGTCAGGTCAGAGAGTCTGGACATAAGCACAGTGAATAGAGTAAAACAAAACTGGTTGTTTTAGTTCCATATTTAAACATTATTATAAAATCCAATGTCTATTTTCTTAACTTCAGTTGACACGAATAGGTTTGCTCTTAAAAATACTAGAAGAAAAATATTTTAATAAAATACACGTTAATAGAAGGTATGATCTTGACTTCTTTTCTGACCATGGCTTAGGATACAGATTTGGCACTCTTCACTTGACCTGAAAGGAAGCAGATTTTTAAATTACATTTAATTCTCTTGTAATATAAAACAAAAATAAAGGCATATTTTAAAACAATGGGCAAGAAATAAAACAGCATGTCCCAACCTAAACTAGTCATTAATTAAAACTTGGTGTTGGTACACCAATTCAAATACTCTTCCACAACCTTTTTTTCATATTTAAAACTGTGAGATCATATTTTCCCAATCAGAATTATTGGTCCTAGTTCTTCTATTGAATAGAGTAACTTTAGTAAATTGCTTAATCTCTCGTCTTCACTTTCTTCATTATAAAATGAGGAGATGGTTTCAGAGGTTTCATCAAGATCTAACATTTCTATCCTATGGAGTTGGAATACAGGAGGGTACTCTGGATGGGATGTATAGATGACCTTGGGACAGAGGCAAGCCTCCCTTAGGTGTGAGAAGGAAGGAGAGTTTCTGGCTAGGCCAATAGTAGTAGTGGTGGAGCAGGGAGAGAAGGTAGGAATAGTGCTCTATAACCAAAAACTCAGGCTTTAGTCATCTTGACAATGGACTATACTGGTCTCACTCCCTCTATTCTCTTCTTCCAACTATTTTATCAGGAGAATCAGATTTTTCTCCCCAACATAATCCCATTTCTCTCCTATCCCAAAGCCTTTCATGGAAACCACCGCCAGAAAATAAAACCCAAACTTCTAAGTTTAAAATTCAGTATTTTTAATAAAACAATCACAACTTAACTTTTCAACCATATTTTCTCAGGTTCCTCAACAGAGACTCAACTGCAGTCAGGCAGATGTATACTGGCCACTTCCCTCTTTCCCATATTTGAACCTTTCCACACCCTACTGTGCTTTCATCCCAGAATTCCCTTCATAGCCCACCCTGGCTAGCCATCCTCTTTCGGGCAATTCCTCTTTCTTCATGATACTTTCTCTTTATACTGAAGTTTCTCAGAATATACACAACATTTAGTTTATCATTTTAAATTTTCTTTTTTTTTTTATCATTTTAAATTTTCATGTTTAATTATGAACTGGGATGTGGAGACCTTAAATACAAATATATTATAAAGCATCTCTCTCCCGTTAGGGGGCTAGGAAAGTGTTGTATATATGCTAAAAAGATGTAAGGTACGGGCCTCCCCTGGTAGCGCAGCGGTTGAGTGCTGGGCTAAGAGGCTGCCCGCAGCCTCTGCAGCGCCGGTTTGTTCCCCGGCCCCTGACAAGGGTCCCACAAAAAAAAAAAAAAGATGTAAGGTACATGTGACAAGAAATATTCTGCCATACTACCTAGATGAGATTAAGTATCTTAACCTTTTAACAAAACTTTTGATAAATAAAAAACTTTAGGTATGTAAATCCACAATCAAAAGAATTGAGTTGTTTGCCAACCTGGTATCATATACGAAAAATAATTCAAAATGGATCACAGAAGTAAATGTAAGAGATAAAACTATGAAAAGGCTTTTTTTTTTTTTTTTTTTTACAAAAAGACATAAAAGTAAATCTTAAGGACCTTGGAATGGTAATGTTTCCTAGCTATGACTCTGAAAGCACAATCAACTAAAGGGAAAATAGATACATTAGGCTTCAAAAGTAAAGCCTTTGTCACACCCAAAGGATGACTAATATTAAAAAGAGAGAGACGATAATAAGTGTTGATAATGACATGGAAAAGTTGAAACCCGGGAAAAAGCAGCATTAAACCTAATCTGCATCTTTCTGATATTCAGAGCACTTTTTATGCAAAACTTACGTGGTGCAGACATTTTTGTGTAGATAGGAGTCACAATATCTTCCAATTGCTGTTTCTGTTCAAAAATCTCATTAATGGACGCTTCCAAATGGGTTTCTAACCACTCATTTTTTATACGGCATGCATTGAGGATGGTGTTCTAGAGACAGAAAGAAGGAACTTACTTTTCACTTATTTATGAAAAAATAAAACTCTAGGATCTCTAAACTAGCACTTTCCAACAGAACTTTCTGTGATGATGGACATGTTCTATATGGGAATTGTTCAATACAGTCACCATCAGACACATATGGCTACTGAGTACTAGAAAAGTGGCAAGTGGACTGAGGAAATGAATTTTTAGTTCATTCACTTTTAACTAATTCAAATAGTCATATGTGTCCAGTGGCTACTATATTAGACACTGAAGCTCTAATATTAATGAAATGTGAAAATAATAAAATTCACAACCTAGTCATGAAGCCTTGGGCCAACCTACAGTATCAGGTGAGGACCCTGATACTTTATTTTCACTGAGGCCTAAGATAGAGAAGTGTTTGCACAGCAAATGGCTGGTGCCTGATATAAGATGGTTACCATTAAGTGGTTTGTAATAATAAAGACAAATGAATAAATGTATTGCATGTCTTGTAAGCAGTAGTAATATGCAGAATGTATATGTAGAGTATATTCATTGAAGTCTAGAAAGATGTCCATAAAAAATTATTATTAAGAAGAATGCAAATTAAAAAGTAATGTGTATAGTATGATCTCATTTTTGTATAAACACAAAATCTTCCTTATAAAACTATATGTATACAGATATATGTTTATATAATTGAAGGGACTTTGTTATTAGAAGCACAGAGTAATAAGACTGGAAATAGAAAAAGGAAAACTATGAAGTTTACTTTCGACATTTGAATTTTATTCTAATTATTACGGCATGTATAATATTTTTCAGTTCAAACAACTAAATATTTAAAGATTGCATTAAATAGGTTTTTACAGTAACCAGCTTAAGAAAGCATTATTTTGCCAGGAAATTTTTGTAGATAGATTGATAGATAGATAGATAGATAATAGATAGATACTAAGATGACTTTAGCATATATACATATAATAAATATAAAATATATGCTAAAATATATGATGGGCAGGCAAGTTTTGAGGCAATATAATATAATATAATATATATGCTAAAACATATGATGTGCAGCTAAGTTTTGAGGCAAAATAATGAAACCAGTATCAGTGAACCCATTAATCGACAGAAGAGCCAGAACATGACCAGTATTACAAAGATACTTGTGTCCATCCCCTATTTTCATCCCCCTGCCGGCCTCTAAGAGATAATCACACTCTGTATACATACCTTTGTTTTTAATTTTTAGTAATTTTACTCCATATATATAGGCATCCCTAAAATATAGATTGCTTTTTGTTTGAGTTTTTTTTAATCTATGTAGTCTTTGGTGATTTTTTTCACTCAACACTACATTCCTAGATTCATTCATTTTGTTGGCTGTGATACTTAGTACATCAATGTCACTCTAATATTATTTCATTTAATTTTAATCAGTCTATCTCTTATTGGTAGTTTATTACAATAGGGAGGAAGGCGGGAAGGAAAAAAGAAGGAAGGGAGGAAAAGAAGAAAGCAGAAAGGAACACCACCTACCACTAGAGCTTTAGTGCAGACATTAAAGATATGTCATAAACCTCAGAAGACTTCAGAACAAGCAATAATCATAATGCAGTACCTTGTCTTCCTTTAAGAGCTTCATTTGTCCCTTTTCTGTGTCTGTAACACCTGCAGAGACCTTAGCAATATATTTTTTCAGAGTCAGCCTCGCATCTGAAAGAACAGGACAGTAAGATGCATAATCACAAGTCAAAGACCAAAAACTGTGTTCAACAGTTTGTAATGTGCTACCAGATATCCAGAACTTTAAAAAGATTGTGTGTCGGAGGTTTTTTCAGTTGTTTTTACTGAATTTCAAGAAAGATAAAACTCAACTGGTACCACAATTGGGGTACTCACTGTGTTCCTAGAAATGGGGCTAAAATTTTTGAAGAACAATTAAATATAAAACATGAAACTTGATCCCAAAAAGACCACACTATTAAAATATGTATTCTGAAAAAGGAAACAACAACAAAACTAAACATTTCCTTCTTGACTCTTAAAAAGGAATTCAAGGAGGGGGCGGAGCAACATGGCGGCGAGGAGACGCTGCGAGTAAGATCTCCCATTAAAAAAAGTTAATAGGGAGGAAAAGCAGCAGGTCCCAGAGAGAACTGGGACACGGAAGATAAACGGGTGACTCCAGCAAACTACCCGAAGAAGAAAGTGGCCATAAAAGAGGACTAGAAGGGAGGGAAGTGCAGAACCCTGCTCCCCTCCCCCGCCCACAGAGTTGGCACTCTCCGACCGGCAGAGAGGAGGGAAACAACACACTAAAACGACCAACAAGAACAAACGACACAGCAAGAGGGACTGTGAGTGTGCAGCCACCACACCCCGTGAACGGGAGCTGAGGCGAACCCTGCAGGATTCGCCGCGGCGGTGAGCGAACGGCTCCGGGCGCCATTAGAGAAGAACAAAGACCCCGGGAGACGCGCACACAGCCCGGGCTGCCGGTAAGCTTGCGCGGGAAAGCGGCACGCTTGGCGCGCTTGAAAAGGAAACGCAGACCGGGATCGCAGAGGCCCAGGTCCCCGCGCCTGCAACCTAGGCTTGCGGGGAGACGCACGGAGGTCCTCACTGAGGTGAAGGTCCCTCCCTGAGTAAGCAGGAACCAGGCGCCCAGGCACGGGAGCAGGGCAAAAGGCGCCATTCCCGCGCCACTGAACTGGGCTACAGCCCGCGTCCTGGACCTGAGGGCTTTGAACTGAGACCCGGGGCACGAAATTAGGGGCGTGGGTTCCCCACGACGGTGGGACACAAGGCAGACACAGCACCCCAAAGCTGTTGAGGTTTACCCTACCATTCCCGTTCTGTTCCCTGTCCCACGGGGTGGGGGGGGTGAAAAACAGCCCCCAAGGACAATAGGAGAGATCTCTGGCGCCACCTAGCGACCAGGAAAAAAAAGTCACTAACACCCCATAGAACAGGAAATTTCTTAAGACTGCTTGAAAAGGGCAGAAGGCTTCTGGAGGACCCAGTGGCCAGCCGGGAAGTTAGCCCACCCCACGCCAGGCCCCTTCCGACCAGCAGTCTGAGCCCACAGAGGGAGCAGGCACCCACGTCCGGGGCAGACCGGGGGCGCAGAAGAGTGTGCCTGAAACCGGAGGCGCAGGGACTGCATCCCGCTTCGCCATTTTAGAACAGGGACATTGCTTCAGTAAAAACTGCCTAAAACCAGCAGAAGGCTCCCCCAGAAGACAGAGATGGCTCCTGGAAGAGCCAGAGGGGAGCAGAGAAGTTCACCCAAGATACCAGTCAGTCCGAGCAACACAGTGTCCCAACGCATACGACAAATTAGAAAACAGACAGTAGGGAGTAGAAGAACCACACGCAACCTAACAACTCCTCAGGAAAGAAGCACACCACAAAAAGAAAACCACTCCCCAGATTGCAACGACAGCAACTTGGAAGAACTTCTGAGCCTTCCAGAAAGAGAATTTAAAATTGCCATGATTAAAAAAGTGATAGATCAGAAGAAGGAAATAGAGTCCCTAAAGAGGGAAATAAAAGAAATGCAGGAGATCAAAGAATTAATGCAGGAACTAAAGAACTCTGGGAAAAGCAATGAAAGCAGAATAGATGAAATGGAAGAACGAATAAGTACTCTTGAAGACACAGAAATAAAAAGAACCAAAACAGAAAAGGAAAGAGAAGTACGAAGGAAAAAGAATGAAGAAAGACTTCGGGAACTATCTGACTCCATGAGGAAAGGAAATATAAGAGTTATAGGAATTCCAGAAGGAGAGGAGAGAGATGTAGGAACAGAGAAAATATTCCAGGAGATAATTGAAGAGAACTTCCCAAATGCGAAGAAGGAGCTGAAAATTGATATACAAGAAGCAAGAAGAACACCAAACTTCCACGACGAAAGGAAAAACACAGCAAGACACATAATAGTAAAGCTCCCAAGAATCCAGGACAAGGAAAAAATAATGAAGCTGACAAGAGGGAAGACACAGATAACATTCAAAGGAAAACCAATCAGGCTGACATCAGACTTCTCTGAAGAAACACTACGGGCAAGGAGAGAGTGGAGGGACATAGTCAACAGACTTCAAGAAAACAGATGCCAACCAAGAATACTCTATCCCGCAAAGCTCTCTTTCCTCCATGAAGAAAGAATATGGACCTTCCCAGACAAAGAGAAACTCCGGAATTTCATTACGACTAAACCCCCACTCCAAAAAATACTACAAGGAATCCTAAAGCCAGAACTTCAGAGGGACGAATAACAACGAAAGAAGACCAGAAAAAAAAAAAAGTTATTAAAAGAATAAATAAATAAAATCAAAGGAAAGACAAACATAATGGCAAATACGGATGCTAACATATCAATATTAACTCTAAATGTAAATGGACTAAACTCTTCAATAAAAAGACACAGAGTTGCAGCCTGGATTAAGAAACAAAACCCAACCTTTTGCTGTCTCCAGGAAACACATTTAGCTACAAAAGATAAAAATAGGCTCAAAGTCAAAGGATGAAAAACAATCCTACAAGCAAATGGGCCAAAAAAGAAAGCAGGAACAGCTATACTTATATCAGATAAAAGAGACTTCAAACTCAAAAAAATAAAAAGAGACCCCAATGGTCACTACATTATGATTAAGGGGACAATACTTCAAGAAGAAATAACACTCATTAACATATACTCACCAAATGAAGGAGCACCAAAATATATCAGACAACTATTGTCATCTCTGAAAATAGACATCAGAGAAAACACATACGTAGTGGGAGACTTCAACACACCACTATCAACAATGGATAGATCAACGAGACAAAAAATAAGTAAAGACACTAAAGCTCTAAATAAGGACCTAGAGCATTTGGGCTTAACAGACATCTATAGAACACTAAACCCAAAAAAAACGGAGTACACATTTTTCTCAAGCGCACACGGATCATTCTCCAGGATCGATCACATACTGGGGCACAAGACAAACATCAACAGATACACCAAGATTGAAATCATACCAACCATCTTTTCTGACCACGAAGGCATCAAACTAGAAATAAATCATAAAAAGAAGGCAAGGAACTATCCTACCTCATGGAAATTAAAAACCACACTACTGGAAGACCACTGGACTAATGAGAAGATCAAAGAAGAAATTAAAAAATTCTTTGAATTGAATGACAAGGAGGACACCAATATCCTAAATGTATGGGATGCAGCAAAAGCAGTAATAAGAGGAAAATATATAGCCATAGAAGCTCACATCAAAAAACAAGAAAGAACTCAAAGAAACAACCTAATCTCGAAGCTCAAAGATCTAGAAAAAGAACAACAAAAAAACCCAAAACCAGTAGAAGAAAAGAAATAATAAAAACCAAAGCAGAAATAAATGAAATTGAAACTAAAAAAACAATCCAAAAGATCAATGAAACCAAGAGCTGGTTCTTTGAAAAAATAAATAAAATAGACAAACCCCTAGCCAGGCTCACAAAGGAAAAAAGGGAGAAAGCACAAATACACAGGATCATAAATGAAAGAGGAGAAATCACAACGGACACAGCAGAAATCAAAAGAATAATCAGTAACTACTATGAACAGTTATATGGAAACAAGTTCAACAATCTAGAGGAGATGGACAAATTCCTACAACTCTACAATCACCCAAAGCTAGATAAAGAAGAAATAGAACACCTAAACAGACCAATTACAAGCAGCGAAATTGAAATGGTAATCAAAAACCTCCCCAAAAACAAAAGCCCAGGACCTGATGGATTTACCAATGAATTCTACCAAACATTTAGAGACGAATTAGTGCCTATCCTTCACAAACTCTTCCAAAAAATTGAGAAGGAAGGGACAATACCAAACACGTTCTATGAAGCCAATATTACACTAATACCAAAACCAAATAAGGACAACACAAAAAAGGAAAACTATAGGCCAATCTCCCTAATGAACACTGATGCAAAAATCCTCAATAAAATTTTAGCTATCAGAATCCAACAATGTATCCATAAGATAATTCACCACAACCAAGTTGGATTCATTCAAGGGGCACAAGGATGGTTTAACATCCGAAAATCAATCAACGTTATCCAACACATCAACAAAAAGAAATATAAAAACCATATGATAATATCAATAGATGCTGAGAAAGCTTTCGACAAAGTGCAACACCCATTCATGATAAAAGCCCTTGAAATTCTTGGGATACAAGGAACATACCTCAACATCATAAAGGCCATCTATGACAAGCCAACAGCCAGTATCATTCTCAATGGTGAAAAGCTGAAAGCAATTCCATTAAGATCTGGAACAAGACAAGGATGTCCACTCTCACCACTGCTTTTCAATATAATACTGGAAGTCCTAGCCAGAGCAATAAGACAAGAGAAAGACATCCAAGGAATCCAAATAGGAAAAGAAGAAGTCAAACTATCACTATTTGCAGATGATATGATAATATACATAGAGAACCCCAAAATCTCCACAGAAAAACTAATTCAACTCATCAATTCAGTAAAGTGGCAGGATACAAAATCAACACGCAAAAGTCAGTAGCCTTCCTATACACAAACAACAAATCTGAAGAAGAAGAAATCAAAAAAACCATCCCTTTTATTATTGAAACAAAAAAAATCAAATATTTGGGAATAAATCTAACAAAAGAGGTAAAGGACCTATACAAAGAAAACTATAAAACACTGTT